GGGAGTAATTATTGTTGTTAATTACTGTGGGAGAACAACCTTGGGAGTAATTATTGTTGTTTATTACTGTGGGAGAACAACCTTGGGAGTAATTACAATACATCAAGTGTTGTGAAGGGCCAAGTTCAATAGAGGAGGATTTACCTTAACAAATATGAAGATCTAAATAAGATTATTTGAAGAGTTAATGTGAGTTGTGAGTGGTAAGGCTTAAATAGGTTAGTGCAGAAGACGTGTCTCTGTAGCCTGGTGCTTAAGGCAGTGTCTGCAGCCTGGTGCTTAAGGCAGTCTCTGTAGCCTGGTGCTTAAGGCAGTGTCTGCAGCCTGGTGCTTAAGGCAGTGTCTGCAGCCTGGTGCTTAAGGCAGTCTGTCATCACTCTCCTACTAGCTTGTGTCATCACTCTCCTACTAGCTTGTGTCATCACTCTCCTACTAGCTTGTGTCATCACTCACCTACTAGCTTGTGTCATCACTCTCCTACTAGCTTGTGTCATCACTCTCCTACTAGCTTGTGTCATCACTCTCCTACTAGCTTGTGTCATCACTCTCCTACTAGCTTGTGTCATCACTCTCCTACTAGCTTGTGTCATCACTCTCCTACTAGCTTGTGTCATCACTCTACCTACTAGCTTGTGTCATCACTCTCCTACTATCACTCTCCTACTAGCTTGTGTCATCACTCTCCTACTAGCTTGTGTCATCACTCTCCTACTAGCTTGTGTCATCACTCTCCTACTAGCTTGTGTCATCACTCTCCTACTAGCTTGTGTCATCACTCTCCTACTAGCTTGTGTCATCACTCTCCTACTAGCTTGTGTCATCACTCTCCTACTAGCTTGTGTCATCACTCTCCTACTAGCTTGTGTCATCACTCTCCTACTAGCTTGTGTCATCACTCTCCTACTAGCTTGTGTCATCACTCTCCTACTAGCTTGTGTCATCACTCTCCTACTAGCTTGTGTCATCACTCTCCTACTAGCTTGTGTCATCACTCTCCTACTAGCTTGTGTCATCACTCTCCTACTAGCTTGTGTCATCACTCTCCTACTAGCTTGTGTCATCACTCTCATCACTACTAGCTTGTGTCATCACTCTCCTACTAGCTTGTGTCATCACTCTCCTACTAGCTTGTGTCATCACTCTCCTACTAGCTTGTGTCATCTTGCTTGTGTCATCACTCTCCTACTAGCTTGTGTCATCACTCTCCTACTAGCTTGTGTCATCACTCTCCTACTAGCATGTGTCATCACTCTCCTACTAGCTTGTGTCATCACTCTCCTACTTGCTTGTGTCATCACTCTCCTACTAGCTTGTGTCATCACTCTCCTACTAGCTTGTGTCATCACTCTCCTACTAGCTTGTGTCATCACTCTCCTACTAGCTTGTGTCATCACTCTCCTACTAGCTTGTGTCATCACTCTCCTACTAGCATGTGTCATCACTCTCCTACTAGCTGTCATCACTCTCCTACTAGCTGCTGTGTCATCACTCTCCTACTAGCTTGTGTCATCACTCTCCTACTAGCTTGTGTCATCACTCTCCTACTAGCTTGTGTCATCACTCTCCTACTAGCTTGTGTCATCACTCTCTAGCTTGTGTCATCACTACTACTAGCTTGTGTCATCACTCTCCTACTAGCTTGTGTCATCACTCTCCTACTAGCTTGTGTCATCACTCTACTAGCTGTGTCATCACTCTCCTACTAGCTTGTGTCATCACTCTCCTACTAGCTTGTGTCATCACTCTCCTACTAGCTTGTGTCATCACTCTCCTACTAGCTTGTGTCATCACTCTCCTACTAGCTTGTGTCATCACTCTCCTACTAGCTTGTGTCATCACTCTCCTACTAGCTTGTGTCATCACTCTCCTACTAGCTTGTGTCATCACTCTCCTACTAGCTTGTGTGTCATCACTCTCCTACTAGCTTGTGTCATCACTCTCCTACTAGCTTGTGTCATCACTCTCCTACTAGCTTGTGTCATCACTCTCCTACTAGCTTGTGTCATCACTCTCCTACTAGCTTGTGTCATCACTCTCCTACTAGCTTGTGTCATCACTCTCCTACTAGCTTGTGTCATCACTCACCTACTAGCTTGTGTCATCACTCACCTACTAGCTTGTGTCATCACTCACCTACTAGCTTGTGTCACTACTAGCTTGTGTCATCACTCACCTACTAGCTTGTGTCATCACTCTCCTACTAGCTTGTGTCATCACTCTCCTACTAGCTTGTGTCATCACTCACCTACTAGCTTGTGTCATCACTCACCTACTAGCTTGTGTCATCACTCACCTACTAGCTTGTGTCATCACTCTCCTACTAGCTTGTGTCATCACTCACCTACTAGCTTGTGTCATCACTCTCCTACTAGCTTGTGTCATCACTCACTAGCTTGTGTCATCACTCACCTACTAGCTTGTGTCATCACTCACCTACTAGCTTGTGTCATCACTCTCCTACTAGCATGTGTCATCACTCTCCTACTAGCTTGTGTCATCACTCTCCTACTAGCTTGTGTCATCACTCACCTACTAGCTTGTGTCATCACTCACCTACTAGCTTGTGTCATCACTCTCCTACTAGCTTGTGTCATCACTCTCCTACTAGCTTGTGTCATCACTCTCCTACTAGCTTGTGTCATCACTCTCCTACTAGCTTGTGTCATCACTCTCCTACTAGCTTGTGTCATCACTCTCCTACTAGCTTGTGTCATCACTCTCCTACTAGCTTGTGTCATCACTCTCCTACTAGCTTGTGTCATCACTCTCCTACTAGCTTGTGTCATCACTCTCCTACTAGCTTGTGTCATCACTCTCCTACTAGCTTGTGTCATCACTCTCCTACTAGCTTGTGTCATCACTCTCCTACTAGCTTGTGTCATCACTCTCCTACTAGCTTGTGTCATCACTCTCCTACTAGCTTGTGTCATCACTCTCCTACTAGCTTGTGTCATCACTCTCCTACTAGCTTGTGTCATCACTCTCCTACTAGCTTGTGTCATCACTCTCCTACTAGCATGTGTCATCACTCTACTAGCTTGTGTCATCACTCTCCTACTAGCTTGTGTCATCACTCTCCTACTAGCTTGTGTCATCACTCACTTGTGTCATCACTCTCACTACTAGCTTGTGTCATCACTCACCTACTAGCTTGTGTCATCACTCTCCTACCTACTAGCTTGTGTCATCACTCTCCTACTAGCTACTAGCTTGTGTCACTCTTACTAGCTACTAGCTTGTGTCATCACTCTCCTACTAGCTTGTGTCATCACTCTCCTACTAGCTTGTGTCATCACTCTCCTACTAGCTTGTGTCATCACTCTCCTACTTGCTTGTGTCATCACTCTCCTACTAGCTTGTGTCATCACTCTCCTACTAGCTTGTGTCATCACTCTCCTACTAGCATGTGTCATCACTCTCCTACTTGCTTGTGTCATCACTCTCCTACTAGCTTGTGTCATCACTCTCCTACTAGCATGTGTCATCACTCTCCTACTAGCTTGTGTCATCACTCTCTACTAGCTTGTGTCATCACTCTCCTACTAGCTTGTGTCACTCTCCTACTAGCTTGTGTCATCACTCACCTTGTGTCATCACTCTCTTACTAGCTTGTGTCATCACTCTCCTACTAGCTTGTGTCATCACTCTCCTACTAGCTTGTGTCATCACTCTCCTACTAGCTTGTGTCATCACTCTCCTACTAGCTTGTGTCATCACTCTCCTACTAGCTTGTGTCATCACTCTCCTACTAGCTTGTGTCATCACTCTCCTACTAGCTTGTGTCATCACTCTCCTACTAGCTTGTGTCATCACTCTCCTACTAGCTTGTGTCATCACTCTCCTACTAGCTTGTGTCATCACTCTCCTACTAGCTTGTGTCATCACTCTCCTACTAGCTTGTGTCATCACTCTCCTACTAGCTTGTGTCATCACTCTCCTACTAGCTTGTGTCATCACTCTCCTACTAGCTTGTGTCATCACTCTCCTACTAGCTTGTGTCATCACTCTCCTACTAGCTTGTGTCATCACTCTCCTACTAGCTTGTGTCATCACTCTCCTACTAGCTTGTGTCATCACTCTCCTACTAGCTTGTGTCATCACTCTCCTACTAGCTTGTGTCATCACTAGCTTGTGTCATCTACTAGCTTGTGTCATCACTCTCCTACTAGCTTGTGTCATCTCTCCTACTAGCTTGTGTCATCACTACTAGCTTGTGTCATCACTCTCCTACTAGCTTGTGTCATCACTCTCCTACTAGCTTGTGTCATCACTCTCCTACTAGCTTGTGTCATCACTCTCCTACTAGCTTGTGTCATCACTCTCCTACTAGCTTGTGTCATCACTCTCCTACTAGCTTGTGTCATCACTCTCCTACTAGCTTGTGTCATCACTCTCCTACTAGCTTGTGTCATCACTCTCCTACTAGCTTGTGTCATCACTCTCCTACTAGCTTGTGTCATCACTCTCTTACTAGCTTGTGTCATCACTCTCCTACTAGCTTGTGTCATCACTCACCTACTAGCTTGTGTCATCACTCACCTACTAGCTTGTGTCATCACTCTCCTACTAGCTTGTGTCATCACTCTCCTACTAGCTTGTGTCATAACTTTACTACTAGCTTGTGTCATAACTTTACTACTAGCTTGTGTCATAACTTTACTACTAGCTTGTGTCATAACTTTACTACTAGCTTGTGTCATAACTTTACTACTAGCTTGTGTCATAACTTTACTACTAGCTTGTGTCATAACTTTACTACTAGCTTGTGTCATAACTTTACTACTAGCTTGTGTCATAACTTTACTACTAGCTTGTGTCATAACTTTACTACTAGCTTGTGTCATAACTTTACTACTAGCTTGTGTCATAACTTTACTACTAGCTTGTGTCATAACTTTACTACCTCTTAACATCTTTCAGCTTAACTCTCGTGTGAGGGACCAAGAGTGAGGAGGGTCAGCAGCGGTACTCAGGAGTGCCAGAGGACCTCTGTAACTCACCGTACTCGTTGTTGGGTTCGCCCTTGGCCCAGTTGTCGAAGTCGAAGGCAGTCTCATCCAGCCAGTCGTAGCCGGAGTCCAGCTTGGAGTGACCACCTATCCAGAGGTCGTTGTCTGAGAGGTTGCTAATCTGGAAAAGTGCCACCAATGAAAGCAAAGTGAAACACCTGAAAGCGTTTGCAACTATTAACTCTTAGTTGACACAAATGTACAGGAGCCGTGATGAGGGTTCGAACCTAGGCGCTGGATGTTCCCAGATCCACGCTCTAGCCTCTACGCCACGACATGGAATTGCAACCTGGGGTACTACTGCACCCACGAGGATTGTGGAAATTTCCTTTCACTATATCATTATTATAATCTAAGAAATCATTATTTCTATGTAATTTACACATTTTACATCAGGATAATGATTCTTCATTATTCCTATTAACAATAATGATATTGTTAATAGGAACGTTATCCCTACAGGCAAAAATCAGAAGATACAATTGACGATTTACTACAAAACCAAAAAAACGGTCAACCTACTCATGAGAAACTCTCCCGACACAGAGCATGGTCTGTGTCTGGAGCTAAGCTAAAAGAGCTAACCAAACCCTTAGAATAATCAAGCATACCTTTGACTTTAAGGAAAAGAAGGTAATGATCCAACTGTATAAATCCCTGTTGTTTCCCCATTTGGATTACTGTATCCAAGCATGAAGACCTCATCTTCAGAAAGGCCATAGCTGCTCTGGAGAAAGTGCAACACCAGGCAAGAAAAATCATTATTCAATCATTATTCTGATGTAAAATCACCTCCAATCAGGAACTCTGTTCACCCTGGGGTAAAATATATATATATAAAATATATTCAGGGAGCCGGTCGGCCGAGCGGACAGCACGCTGGACTTGTGATCCTGTGGTCCTGGGTTCGATCTCAGGCGCCGGCGAGAAACAATGGGCAGAGTTTCTTTCACCCTATGTCCCTGTTACCTAGCAGTAAAATAGGTACCTGGGTGTTAGTCAGCTGTCACGGGCTGCTTCCTGGGGGTGGAGGCCTGGTCGAGGACCGGGCCGCGGGGACACTAAAAAGCCTCGAAATCATCTCAAGATAACCTCAAGATAGATAACCCTTAAGGAACACTACTTGCCCCCTACAATCTACTTTCCTTCCTAGGAAAAGAGGAAAGCTGGATTTAAAACCCAGCTAAGGACTAATCAGTTTGTCTAATCAGGACTAATCATAATGTAGAGTAATATTTAAGTATTCTCAAAGTCCTAAGAAATTCTCCTCATTAATATAATCATTGTCATTTTTCCCATAAGAATCCCCCACTAAGATGAAAGTAATTTTATTTCTAGTTAGCAAACAAAATGTTATTTAATATTTTATTGATTCAAAAAATACAGGAGGATCAGATTGCAGCGTTTGGGCATATCCTAACATAATGAGTAAATTGAGTTTACAACTGTTGTGATATACTTATTATTTGAGTATATAAGAAGTAATATAACGAATGGTTAAAGAAAATATAGTCTATCATCTTAGTGTTTCTCTACATTCATCAGGTTTAGAAAGACAAGAAAAAGAAAGAATAAAAATAATCGATCAACGTTAATTTTTTGACTTGCACTTTTCCCGAAAAATATATTATATTGGTTAGTCCTTTTAAGATTTTAGTTTACAACATTAAATTTAGCTGCTGAGTTGAAAAATAAAGTTAGAAAAGTTTCATCATTAAAGTGGAAATAGTCACGCGGAATAAAGTTTATCTTCAAACAATTGTCCCTTTACAGTCAACAATTATGAGGGTCCCAATAGTACAGTCGGGTGCGTTCTCGACTCATAATCGAGAATTATGGGTTCGAATCCCGGGGGAGATAGAAATTGTTGGGTGCATTTGTTATTACCTAATGCCCCTGTCCACCTAGTGGTAATTAGGTATCTAAGAGTTTGTCAGCATGTTGTGGGATTGCATCCTGGGGGGGGGGAGGTCAGTAATCCGATCCTGGGTGGGGGAATGGGTACCTGGATATAAGCCTAACATATACTGTACGTATACTGGCTGCCTGTCCCCAGACCCAAGGAATTATTATTATTCACATCATAAAACTGTGGTCTGCCTTAAACAAATGCATTCATGCCTGTATTTTTTTTTTATTCATTACCATTATTTCCATATTACAGCCTCTTGATATGTGGCCTCCCAAAATCCTTCTCCCTCCCTCCCTCTCTCTCTCTCTCTCTCTCTCTCTCTCTCTCTCTCTCTCTCTCTCTCTCTCTCTCTCTCTCTCTCTCTCTCTCTCTCTCTCTCTCTCTCTCTCTCTCTCTCTCTCTCTCTCTCTTCCTCGACAAAAAGCAAGGTGGTGATAATAAGAAATTATGAGAATGTATTTCTTGACAGTATAATGCTAAGTGACTTAGCAACATAAGGTCGTTACGGTGCTTAAAACATTAGCAACTTCTTGGTTGTACTTTTGAATAAGGTACAGGATGAGAACTTTTTTTACTGGAAAGAAAAGAAGTTCCATATGTTGGATACCGCCATTTGCATGGTGTGTTTGCAGAGATTTAGTTTATATCAAAGAAATACTTCCTCTGTGATCTTCTTGGATATTATTACATCCATGAGGAAAGAGTTTCATATCAGGGTTGGTAGTGTGGAATAAGTAAATGCAAGTGTAAATAGCACAAGAGAATGCGTGGAGTGAACGTATGTTTGGGTGTGTGTTGTCTGAAGACTTAATTATCACACACTTCTGGGAGCTGATTTTTGAAATAGTAAACTAGTTTCTTCCTGTACCCAGGCCACATTAATTATAAAAATAATGCTTATATTTTTACCTCTAAGCTGGAATATCAGAAAATAATGTCAACTCAAATTGAGACAATTTAAGAGTTTATAACCTCACCCAAAAATATTGTTCCTTGCAGATATAGAGCCAAATTGATTCCATACAAACCTTTGACTCAATCCAGTAATTCTCGTCGTAAGTATGGATGGAGACCAGCTCTGCTCCTTCCTTCCTACAGAGCTTATGAGAACCCCACCAGTCCTGAGGGTCCTCGTCAGCTTCAGAGATAAACTTGTAGCAGTGGTCCTCGTACATAAGCCAGGAGGCGTCATCATCACACAGTATGTCAGGACCTCTTGTTGGAGGGGCCAAAGTTGTCACCATAGTTCCTACAGAGAGAGAGAGGCAGTCTGTGTAATGGTCCGGTCAAGGTGATTATACCGAGCAATCCTCCTTCCTTTTTAAACCACCTGGACACTTGTTTAGATCTTCGTGGGGCTTTGAAGGGTTATTAAGGTTTCAGTAATAGTCCACTGGTGAACTGGCATGGGAACTTTTGTCGTAAACAGATATTTTTATATTATTCTCGAATAAATGTTTAATAATATATTTTGAAGGTTTAAAATACACTAAGTCTGTGATATACAGGGAGCCGGTCGGCCGAGCGAACAGCACACTGGACTTGTGATCCTGTGGTTCCGGGTTCGATCCCGGGCGCCGGTGAGAAACAATGGGTAGTGTTTCTTTCACCCCATGCCCCCTGTTACCTAGCAGTAAAATAGGTACCTGGGTGTTAGTCAGCTGTCACGGGCTGCTTCCTGGGAGTGGAGGCCTGGTCGAGGACCGGGCCGCGGGGACACTAAAGCCCCGAAATCATCTCAAGATAACCTCAAGATAAGAAGATATTCACGTTTTCTTTCATAAGACCAAGGTTTTCATTGCTTTCAAATTTTAAGAGATAGTCAAGCATTTAGAATTTTACGTTTCACATGTTTAAAGATGAATTATAATGTTTTAACGTGATGTAACGTAATTTTATCCTAAACAAAGATGGGAAATAAAATAAAGAACTGATTTTTATATTGTTGTGATTATAGCATGTAGTGATTAGTGTTGTGAAGTGCATGTTGTAGTGACCACCATGAAAGTTAATTTTTTTGTATTTTTATTTTTACTTGCAAGCATGCGTATAAGTACAATAAAAGCAAAACAGAAAACAAACTAGAACAAAACAAGCAGAGCACAAAAGTAAAAAATTACAAAAGTACAAACACGCAAAATTACAAAGTTAACAAAAGTTCTAAATCACAAAACACCGGCCGGAAGGGCTGACCACAAAATCACAACAATAATTACAAACACAGTGGAATACAGTACAGAAGTGACAACATTACAACACACAGCACCCAAACCCTCGCCCAACACCCCAAACACCGCAACATAATAATACAAAACAAGCTACTGGCCCCGTAAACCACACATGGAGAGGCACCAATACAAAATGATAATAATAACAAGAAAGGAAATACTAATATATAACAGAAACAAAAAGAAAAGCACAACCGCAAAACATGATAATGAGAACAAAACCAAGCCGGGCCACACTAGCAGCCCGAATGGCACTCACCACCACACAAACAAATGCACAACCAGTACAATAAAAAAAACATAAAAACACAATAACAGGACATCCACAACCAGACACACACTCGAACAAACACCGGAATGCACAGGAACCGGTCACACACACAAATAAACCCACAACTACAAACTGGATCGTGCAGGAACTGGGAAAACCAACCCACCCCACACACACACACCCACACATGCAACCCCCAACCCACAATCATGCACACAAATGGAAACAACCCACAACATACAGCAAACAAAGGAATCATGGGGTAGGAATACATTTCTCAGATACAGGAACATATTTATCATGGAACTTATCCAGAAGATACTTGTGCTTATAGGCTTCCCAAATCAAATACTCCTGTCGGAAAATCCGACACCATTTAATATATCATACAGACAGATAATAATTGCTGCTGTATTACCAACAAGTTACCCATAGAAAACGTAACTTGTAGTGGAATTACCGTCTATAGAAAACGGGATATCATCACCACATACTATTATATTCTCCACCTATTATGGTGGGAATTATTCTTAAATACATTAGTCTTTGGACTTTACCATCATAAAAACATCTCATATAAATTAACTTAATTATCAATATTAAAGTAGAGTAAATGTGACCCTTCTATCACTTTCTGTTATCTGGACAATGTAAGCCAGGCAGGAGTGAGGAAGGAGGGCAGCCATTGTTGATACTAGACCAGAGGCTCTCACGGGAGCAAATTTGGCTCCTGTTAATTTTACTTGGACATAGTGTTATGGAAACCAAAGGTGTACCATTTTCAACACGCTGTCATCAAATCAAGTTAAGTGTTCTTTCCGAAACCCATTATCTATCATTAGTGGCCATTAATATCATTGGGTAGGGTTAGCCGGTTAGAGCACAATATAGCCTCAAACTAAAGGTAATTAAGCCAGATCTTCATGTTCCATGTATAGTGTTTTCTCTGATATAGCTTGTCCTATATAGAACCTGGCTTCACAGTTAGCGCCCTTTTGACAGGTCAAGACGAGGAAGCATATGCTCTGTGCATCAGTTACCTGGGTGATGGAAGCTACCTCAAAGAGGATAATTTGGTGTCTACATCCTAGTTATATCTGTTTGGACTAAGGCCTGCTGTACTATAAGATAAGGAACCTTTTCAATGTATGTAGTTAATACTGTAGTTTGATTGGCTGCATATATATAAATAATAAACCCCCCTAATGTGTAGAGGATCGATTTGTGAGATTATTGCAGAAATACAGTCCACTTATCATTATACAAATTGCTATCGAAGTATATAAATTAATGTAAATATAAATTCTATATATATTTATATAAATTAAATAAATATAAATCTCACAGGTCGGTTCCCACATTATTTGGTCCTTCGAAACCGAATTATTTAGACCTTCAGAACCGGATTATTCGGTCCTTTGAACCCACATTTGGTCATCTTAGTACCGGATGAACCAGTTAACCAGTGGATTCATTAAATAAACTAGTGCAGTGTGATTTAAACAAAGCCAGCAGTCAATGACGGCGGCGTTGACTCATGCGAGTTCACGAGCCCCGCTCAGTTCAGATCAGCTTCGTCAGCGGTTTCATGTACACCCACAGATTTGGTGGCGTGTTATTCTGTGAAATGACAGCGCTAATATAGAAGCCAGCCAAATTAGTGACTGTGTCTTCACGATATTGTTCACGGATTTCGTGGTGTTAAATTTCGCGAGAGATTATCTACGAATTTTGTGAACTTTATTTCGCGAGGTCACTAATAATATTTAATACTTCTAGATAATATTAGAAGTTTCATAGAGGCTAATTAAGAGGCTATTATCAATAATTGTGTATATTATTTCTCCAAAATAGAGAATTATTTAATATATTGCACTAGTGATCACAGTGTAATATTTACTAATTGCCAACCCACAACAGGGTAGGATATTAACCATTGACTAGTTGAACTATTATTGTTCATCCTAGTCCCATTATTACCATAGTCAGTTGTACTATATTGAATAACCTAACACCATTAATGAATGGTGCAGACCCTATTTTGGGTGTAATTTTTATCAACTCGAGTTGAGTTGTATATATAATAATTTACTTATGATCATTACACCTTTGAGTGATTAATTAGTGTCTCTACCATCCTAGGGTGATATAGAAGAGCTAACCTAAAGGTACTTCCAGTGACACTGGTTTATCACTCAAATCATTAGTGTGTATGATTGTATATATATATAATGTGTATTAATTTTAAGTGCTAACCTCTAGTAGAGGTAGGATTATCGCCTAGTGAGTGCAGAATATACCCTAGGCTATCATTAGAGTTTGTTCAGTATTATGAGCAGCCCAAGTACAAGCCCCACAAGGCTTCACCAACTAGCCAGTATGGATAATGCTGGCAATGAGAAAACTGTCATACATCTAGTACTACAATTGTTGGACTTACCTCAACCTGATCAGACTGCTGACTCATTACAATCCTTCAGCATGGAGTTTGAGTCACTACTAAGAACATTCAGTCTTAAGGTTGATATAACTACTAGTGAATGGATGACCAAAGTAGTCCTTCAACAAAAATTGTCCAGCGATATACTAGATGAATTATATTCACATCAACATAACACCATCCTGACAGTACAGGACATCACTGAAGGTTTACATTCCATCATAAACAAACGACGTGCAAATGAGGAAGTTAAAGCCTCTTGCAAGCCTTCAGAAATAGAAAATAAGAGTCAATTAAAGGGTAAAACAACTACCCAAATAAACATCAACCAATTACTCAAACATCAAGTTGCAGAAAATCTGACAATGCAGCAGCAACCTCCAAGCCTACTATTACTAGTTCACCCAAACCGGTAACTTCCAAACGTGCAGTAGGCTGGGGGACATGTATGTTCTGCAAAAAGAAACATTCAACATACCGTTGTGCTAATTATCCAACCAGAGACACTCGTATGGAGCGACTCCAGGAATTAGGGAGATGTGCAAGGTGTCTCAAGTCACACAACATAGACTATTGTGATACCCAATTCAACACCTGTAACAGGTGTAGAAGAGGTAGGCACCATGCAGCACTGTGCAAATATAAGAAATTAACGTATTCAAGACCCAAGGTGGAAGATAGCATTCCCACCACAGTACAGTACTGCAAGGTGCAACAAACAAAGAGTGTCCAATCGGCAAAGTCTAAAGGTAATACGACTTTGCCTACTGCCCAAATTACCATCCTGAATAAGAGGGCCAAGGTCCATACCCGTGGGTTGTTTGACCAAGGATCCCAAAGAACATATGTCACTAAAAAGCTGGCAGATGAACTACAATTAAGGCCTGTAGCCCAGATGTCATTCAACATCTCAGGGTTTGTAACAGATGCAGGACCTCAAGTCTACCAGGTGGTACAACCATCAGTACGCTTAGGCAGGTACGTCTGTCGAGTACAAGCCATTGTGGTGGACAAAATACCAGTAGACCTACAAGTTCAAGGTCTCAGAGCAACAGCCAAATTCCTGAGAAATAGAGGAATAAAATTGGCAGATAATATTAAGTCTGATCACCTCACTGACTTCGGTCTCCTTGTAGGGACAGACTATTGTCATCGATTCATCGGTAGCCCTACTAAATATCAGGGTATAACCATGTTAAACTCTGCAGGAGGTAAATTACTCTCAGGCCCAGTATCAAGCCTGAGGAGACCTATGACTGCAGATAAACAATACCAATAGAAATCTAAATTTGTCAGCTGATTATATTTCTCCAGTAGCATTATACTAAGGAGATTACAGCTGACTATACCAACAGAAGTTGATGTTAGTATCATCATTTAAAGCTGAAGATGAGTTCATGAGGCCTCAGTGGCAAATCAGTGAACAGTAGCCTAAAACAGCTACAAGTCACTGCGACCAATGTCACTGAACCCACTGCAGTCTCAGAACCATACTTTACTTTAATGATGATCTATTCAATCTTCTGAATCAATTAACTAAATTAAACCCCAATAAATCTGATGACTGATTTGATACATTTATTATTTAATCAAGATGCATTCCATGGGCCTCAGTGTTTATATATCAGTGACCAGTTACCTGAAGAAACTTCAAGTTATATCTAATGTCATTGATCTCACTGCAGTCCCTGAATCATACTTGACTGTAGTACTTGATCACATTCAGTCTTCTGGGTTAAATAATATGTAATTAGGCTTGAATATTAGCCTTTCAAGAGTTGACAGGGAAATGAAATCGCATTAGACTTCTAACCCCTGCAACTCTGGTACGGGACATCCATCCTGTACGAACAGACACACAAATGTGTGATTACTAACTACTAACATCAAATTAATCTAATAATTCGAAGGAGGAGTATCGGTGTTCGTCTGTTCTAAATAGGACTTCGACCCCGTGAGCAGCCCCTGGGGAATTATGTCGGAAAATCCGACACCATTTAATATATCATACAGACAGATAATAATTGCTGCTGTATTACCAACAAGTTACCCATAGAAAACGTAACTTGTAGTGGAATTACCGTCTATAGAAAACGGGATATCATCACCACATACTATTATATTCTCCACCTATTATGGTGGGAATTATTCTTAAATACATTAGTCTTTGGACTTTACCATCATAAAAACATCTCATATAAATTAACTTAATTATCAATATTAAAGTAGAGTAAATGTGACCCTTCTATCACTTTCTGTTATCTGGACAATGTAAGCCAGGCAGGAGTGAGGAAGGAGGGCAGCCATTGTTGATACTAGACCAGAGGCTCTCACAGGAGCAAATTTGGCTCCTGTTAATTTTACTTGGACGTAGTGTTATGGAAACCAAAGGTGTACCATTTTCAACACGCTGTCATCAAATCAAGTTAAGTGTTCTTTCCGAAACCCATTATCTATCATTAGTGGCCATTAATGTCATTGGGTAGGGTTAGCCGGTTAGAGCACGATATAGCCTCAAACTAAAGGTAATTAAGCCAGGTCTTCATGTTCCATGTATAGTGTTTTCTCTGATATAGCTTGTCCTATATAGAACCTGGCTTCACAGTTAGCGCCCTTTTGACAGGTCAAGACGAGGAAGCATATGCTTTGTGCATCAGTTACCTGGGTGATGGAAGCTACCTCAAAGAGGATAATTTGGTGTCTACATCCTAGTTATATCTGTTTGGACTAAGGCCTGCTGTACTATAAAATAAGGAACCTTTTCAATGTATGTAGTTAATACTGTAGTTTGATTGGCTGCATATATATAAATAATAAACCCCCCCTAATGTGTAGAGGATCGATTTGTGAGATTATGAGATTATTGCAGAAATACAGTCCACTTATCATTATACAAATTGCTATCGAAGTATATAAATTAATGTAAATATAAATTCTATATATATTCATATAAATTAAATAAATATAAATCTCACAGGTCGGTTCCCACAACTCCATGTCCTTAGAGGAACGGTCCCCCTGCCTCCGTGGGGCCCGCACAAACTCAGAAATTACCAAATCAGGCGGAAACAGCCACTCCCGAAATTCGCCGACGCAAGTAGCATAACGAGGCAGGGGAGTGCGAAACACCCCCTCAGAGGAAGCAGAAGACACCGAAGACGCGTAAGTAGGTCGCCGAGACGGCCTCGCCGCCGAACACACAGGAGAAGAAGGCGACGGCTGCCGAGACAGTAACACCTCCACCAATACCACTGGAGATACAGAAGAAACGTCCGAAGGCAGGAGAGGCGTCAAGACCCCTGCCGATGAAACAGGGAACGAGGAAGGGGGCACGGAACCCCCAGAGCGAGCAGCCTTTTTGAACACCACCACCAGGTCACCACGCTTACCATGAACCTCATCAAAGGGAACCACCCCCCACAAAGAACCGGAACCATCCGACGCAGGCGACGCACCCGAAATATGATCCACAGACACCACACCAGAAGGGCAGGCCGAAACACCGGCATCCGCAGGCAGATGCACCTCCGCCACCACTGTAGAACTCAAAGCAACAGGAGCTACCCCGCCGTCGCCTGGAGATCCTCAATTGTTGAAATCGCCAACATCAGCCCAGGCAGAAGAAGAATGCCGCGAATGCTTAAGTTCCGCCCGCACATTATCAGATCCGGAGACTGACTCAGAGACACGTGCAACACAAGCCGGGCGAACCGACGCTCGTCGTAGAATGGCAGCATCCTCAACCACATGGGGTACCAGGACAGGCACAGGAGGTGGCGCCGTATCCACCCCAGCACCCAGCACAGTAGGGACACACGGCTAGGGCATAGGGACAGATGCAGCAGGTGAAGAACTCGAAGATGGGGGAGCAGTCTGAAGATCCACAGGAACTCTAGGGACACCAACTGGAGCAGGACGAGCACCTGACGGCGACACAACCTCCGGAGAAGAGACGACAACACCAGGAGGTGCAAGAGTGTGGAGTCACACAGGGGGCACAGCATCGGTCAAAGAGATGTTCATATCCACACCCACCGAAGCCTCCTCCACAGGAAGCGGCGGGAAATCCTCCTCACAGAAGAGGTTCATGGGTGCAATGGCAGGCACAGAACACCCAGCAGCCTGATGGCCCAAAAGGCCAAAATGATAACACGTCCGAGGCTGGCGGGTGTAAAACACCCGAACGGGGTATCCCAGGAGTCTCACAGCAGATGGAATGTCCGATTGTAGCCGTATTCCCAGGGTGCGAATGTTCGTCTTCACACCCTTGAGCGTCCCTGAGGAAAGTATGTGCAACTGCACCCTAACAACCGTGCCAAACTGGCCGAAGTACTGCCGTAGCAGTCCCTCTGGAAACTCCAAGGGCGCCCCACGAACGGTTATCTTGAGGTTATCTTGAGATGATTTCGGGGCTTTAGTGTCCCCGCGGCCCGGTCCTCGACCAGGCCTCCACCCCCAAGAAGCAGCCCGTGACAGCTGACTAACACCCAGGTACCTATTTACTGCTAGGTAACAGGGGCATAGGGTGAAAGAAACTCTGTCCATTGTTTCTCGCCGGCGCCTGGGATCGAACCCAGGACAACAGGATCACAAGTCCAGCGTGCTGTCCGCTCGGCCGACCGGCTCCCAACGGTGACATAAGTGAGGGCACCATTACGATCGGATAGGGTCACAGTGCCCACACCGTCTGGCAGGGGTAAGGTCCACCCCTCGTAGCGACAGAGAAACTCCCTATATGCCATCTCCTCTGTAAACTTGATAATCGCCCGACATGCTGTCACCAACTCGACACCATACATGTCCAACACAGGAACATGAAGCATTTCACATAACACAAGTGCCACCTCCGGGTACCCAGCTCGGCCAGAAAACTCGAGGCCCACGGACTGAGCCCGTACTACAGGGAAAAGTGGGACCCCCATTTTGAAATCCACGTCAGCACTGACCAGACGGGCAGAGACGTACACGCCCCCAGCCGGCCAAACTGGCAAACACCCACCAATTGCCCATTACCATGAAAGTGGTAATCAATGCAACATTAATCACCGTGCCAAGACACTTGGCTTCAAACGGAAATACTCTCCCCAGCCGCAAAACAAGTAAGAACTTGTTTAAAGCAATTAAGAGGCCATACGGAAGATTTCATATTGACTGCTTCCACACACACTGTCAGCGTGACACAGTTGACCTCGCCTTGAGCTGCCTCACACACACTGTCAGCGTGACACAGTTGACCTCACCCTAAGCTGCCTCACACACACTGTCAGCGTGACACAGTTGACCTCACCCTAAGCTGCCTCACACACACTGTCAGCGTGACACAGTTGACCTCACCCTAAGCTGCCTCACACACACTGTCAGCGTGACACAGTTGACCTCACCCTAAGCTGCCTCACACACACTGTCAGCGTGACACAGTTGACCTCACCTTGAGCTGCCTCACACACACTGTCAGAGTGACACAGTTGACCTCACCCTAAGCTGCCTCATACACACTGTCAGCGTGACACAGTTGACCTCACCTTGAGCTGCCTCACACACACTGTCAGAGTGACACAGTTGACCTCACCTTGAGCTGCCTCACACACACTGTCAGCGTGACACAGTTGACCTCACCTTGAGCTGCCTCACACACACTGTCAGAGTGACACAGTTGACCTCACCTTGAGCTGCCTCACAGACAAACGGGAGGAAAGCTTCACAGACACTGTCAGAGAGCTTCATGGAGGTGGTATCAGCAGAGCCGCAGTTCTCTCTGCCATAATAACTATCCGGCTGACCCTCCGCCCAGTTCACATAGTCCAGGGCAGTTCCGTCCGACCATTCGTAACCTGCAACAATTATTATTAAATTTCTTTATAAAATGTGAACACCGTGTTTTTTCGTAGTTCATTTCTCATATATATGATTATATATTTCTTATTGACCAAAATTATTGAATTGTGAGCACATACAGTAAGGAAAATTGTTAGTGGTTACATAGTTAATCTATAGTCAGGAATATTAGGTGGCGCTGCATTGTGACTCCCCCTCCCCCCGTGGTAATGTCACGCTGACTCACCAGGGAGCCGGTTGGCCGAGCGGACAGCACGCTGGACTTGCGACCCTGTGGTCCTGGGTTCGATCCCAGGCGCCGGCGAGAAACAATGGGCAGAGTTTCTTTCACCCTATGCCCCTGTTACCTAGCAGTAAAATAGGTACCTGGGGTGTTAGTCAGCTGTCACGAGCTGCTTCCTGGGGGTGGAGGCCTGGTCGAGGACCGGGCCGCGGGGACACTAAAAAGCCCCGAAATCATCTCAAGATAACCTCATCTCAAGATAACCACTTACAAGTGCCTCTGGTCATTGTGACTCACCTGACTCGGAGCCCAGCCTAAGGCCAACCCACACAGCCTGGTAGGTTGGCTGGAGGTCACTCATGCCTGCCAGCCTGTGGAAACAATCACCGGGAACTACAATCACCACATGAATTACACGTGCATTATATAACATCTAAATGTATAACATTTCATCTTGTATTTACTAAAACCAATTTTAAGTTATTTTCACCTGTGCCTATAACTCTTATATAAATACGTGCAACTAGGAGTATATGGGATAAAAAAAACAGTGTTGAATGTAATGAATGTAATGAACGCCATTTTGTGGGTGAGACCAGAAGCCTCCCCGGAGCTATCCAGGCTGATATGTATGTTATTACACTTTGTCATCAGTCAGTATAAATGGAGTTCTAGCCCTACTGGGGACTACCAGTCAGAATCTGGCCCCCTCAGGGAGGCACGCGGACGCAATGGCCTATAGAATCGCGCATTTGATATGGAACATTCTATTTCTGTCATCAATCGGGCCAGGTACCCAGAAAGGTAAGTGCCTCAAAACCAACTCCTATTTTGGTTAAAACTACTACTGAAAACTAACTCGTGGACAGAACTCCCCAAGTGAAAACAAGCAAACGTGCATGACGTCATATGTGACGCACCGCTTGTCTGCGCAGCTTCCCCCTCCCTGGGAGGGAGAAGAGGGAGCCCCAGATCCCTTGCGCCGGCTATCCATACACCAGTTCGAGGCTGGATGTCTGAACACGCGAAAAAAACGGTGACCAGGGGTAGGGAGGGTTGCCGGGGAGCCTCCAGGTCTCACCCAGAAAATGGCGTTTCACTACATTCAACGCTGGTTTTCAGGGAAGCGCCCTTTCGGCTACCTGGAGCTACATCACAAAAGACGAAAACAAGAGGGACTTACCCAGGAGGCGGTCGGCACCCGTTCCTCAACTCGAAGTCGAGACAACAGGCTGCAACTGTTGACCCAAAGCAACTCAGGCCCAACTAGGCCCAGGAACATTTACGAGGTATCGTACAGCCAGGATCTTGTTCGACCACCAGAAACCCCATGCCCGAATGTCAGCCCAAGACATGTTACGAAAGACGGCACCAAGTACGACAAACATAAGAATGTCATGAGCACAGGGATAGACCACAGACTGGCTGGACATAATAACACGGCAGATAACCTGAGAGACCCGAACCCTGGAACAGGGAAGAAGGGTAAATGGATCAACCGAAAGTACGTCTTTGGTCACAGAGGCTGTGGCATGCGAATAACGGTGGAGAGCCACAACTGGACACAACATATGATGCACCCCAGCCTGACCAACCAAGCATCAACAACCCAAGGACCCCTCTGGAATGCAGCGATTGCATTCTTCACCAGAAAGAATGGAGATGGCTGCAAATGAACGAACCTATCACCTTGACCAAAAGAGCAGAAACCCCTGCATTAGAGAGCATGAAGCTCCACGACCCGACCCCCAGAGGCCAATGCCAGCAAGAAAAGAGCTTTGGAAAAACAATCCTGAACCGAAGGGGACACAACAAACCGAGGAGAAGACAGATAAGAAAGGACTTGATTCAAGGACCAGGACGGCTCAAGCGGTGCATGAGCGAGCTGGAGGTGAAACAACCCATGAGACAGCTAGCGAAACGGAGCAGAAGTAACATTAATACCGAACGCAAGCTGCAGTGGCTCCGCCAACGCCACATGATAAGAGGCGACAGTATTCGGCAAAAGATGACGGTCCTGAAACATCAGAGAAAATACAAAACAACCTTAACGGAAAGCAAAGTACACCGACGAAGAGACAAAAAGAAATGGAAGGACCACCAGGGAACTTCATACTGCCGCTGAGATGAAGCCTGGAGGTGGGACACCAGCAAAGAAGCCCCCTGATCACCATACAGATGGTGATAGACTCGAGTCAAAAAGACCAGACTTGAAGACTTGAAGAGAAGATTGAACCAGTCTCGTAACAGACCGGACTGATCTGCTGAAAGAGGTGGAGCCACAGGAAAACCTTCGAGTTCGGACACCGAACAAGCAGCGCTTGAAACCAAGGCTGGGCCGGCTACCATGGGGCCAAGTGGACTTCTCTCCTGTGGTAAGTCTCCAAGCGAGCTAGGACCTGGAGCAACAGCTGAACCGGCGGGGGGAATGTACCAGAACCCCCACCTCGACCAGTCCTGTCTAAAGGCATCGATCCCGACGGCCACGCGGTCGGGAAAGGACGCCACATATACCAGAAGATGCCTCGACCACGCCGACGGAAGAGGTCCACCTCTGGGTGCTCGATCGTCTGGCAGAGCCAACTGAATGAGTCGGCATTGACCGTCCATTCTGTGGACAAGGGAATGAACTGAGACAGGCTGTCCACCAGAACGTTGGACACCACCCTGGTGTGAACTGCCAGGAGAGCCAAACCCCGAGAATTCAGAAGAGTCACCTGAAGTAACCAGCCCCAAAGAGCCAAGGACCACATCGAACCCCCCCTCGGTTCAGGCAATGAACCACCGGGAAGCAGTCTGAATGGAGCTGTATCGTCGATCTGCGGGCGACCCGAGCCCCGCGAAGCAACATCTACATCCAGCAGTCTGAATGGAGCTGGATCATCAATCCGCGGGCGAACCGAACCCTGCAAAACGACATCAACATCGCCACAAACTCATGTACCGAGCTGTGGACCTGATGCAGCAGCTGATGCAAGGGCCCCTGCCAAACCCAGCAATCGCGAGAGAGGCGAAAGGGATTTCCCTGAAGGAACCGGAACAACTGATGAAGCCAAACCTGACCCGGTGGGTAGACCATCATCGCAAAGTTCAGCCTCCCACACAAACCCTTGAGCAACCTCTGTGCAACACAGAAGCCCACATAAACAAGCACATGCAGGAAGCAGCCGATGGAGAGACAAGGAAGCAGTCCGAGAGTCCCACACAAGACCCAGCCAGGTCTGAACCTGGGAGGGGGCCAGATGAGATTTCCTCCAGTTTACCCTGGCGAGCAGACATGAGGACCGACTAGGAGCCCATACCAGCCAGTCGTTGAGGTTGGCCAACACCCGAACACCTATAAGACGCAGACGGGCCACCACGACCTGGGTAAGGCATGTGAATACAAGAGTTCTAGAGGTCGAGGGACACCAAGCAGCCGGCTCCAACAGAAGCCGGACCTTGGACAGAGTAGTCATCTGAAAGGAGGGGCAAGAAACCCAGGAGTTCAGACGGGACAAGTCCAGAATGAACTGCAGGTCTGCACAGTCCCGTTTTGGGACTGGAATCAGGCGGGAAACCCACGTGAGAGACGTCGTCGGTTCGACCACGCCAAAGCGCACCCACTCCGATATGACCTGACAGAGCACAGGAGAAGAGGCCTTCCCCGCCAGCTCCAAACCCCCCAATGGAGGAGGGGCCACCCAATATTACCGCAGGCCGTCGGAAACGACCCAAAAGGCCCACAAATCGTGAGACCAGGCATGAGCGAACAGAGCAAGTCTCCCCCCCATCGCCCCGTCAATGGGACGAACCACAAAAGAGCGGGCACCCCTTACAAGAACCTGACCTGCATACAGAGCGATCATCACACCGACTAGACGCAGACGGCTCAGGAGGCGGCGTCGGCTCCGAAACTGGCACCTGTGGCCTACCACAACGAGCGGAGCCCCGAGCCTTGGCCCGACCCTTCCTGGAGGAACACCCCCGGAACCCACAAAGGACCAACAAGTCCGATATTGGACGACAACTGCAGAAACTGCACAACCGCAGACTGCAAACAGCAAAGGACAAAAAGGTGAAGAAACTCTAGGAGCCATGTCCCAAGCAGATTCCAATGAGAAAGTGAGCACTACCTGCCGGCAAGCAAAACGTGTAGCGAAAAACCATGACACTGCATCTGCACAAACAGCTTCAACAGCGCAGACGATGTACGAGCTGCCGAGACTAAGGCATCAAACCCAGGAACGGCACCAAGCATCTCTACATCCTCCACAAGCCAATCCAAAGACAGCTTCAAGAGGAAAAAAGAAACGCAAAATCGAAGCCAACAAGTTATGAGCACGCAAATCCTCAGCCACCAGCGCAGCCGACAGGGAGGGAATCTGCCTGTGAAGCTGAATCACGCTAACATTCCACTGAAGGGGTAGGGGAGAGCAAACACGCATTGAGGTGCTTGAAGTCGCCTCCCAGGTAATACTAGACCACCATCAATGCCACACGCTACTCAAGCATGTGGGTATGACAGAAAGTACTCCAAGCATCCAACGACACCAATAGGCAGTCAGCAAGCCAGGACGACTCTGGAGCCTCATAACGAACCCAGTATGGAGACGAAGACCCAAACCTGAAAGATAACGGATCCATTATAGAGGCAAAATCTTAGTCGCACAGGAGGTAAGCCGCAATGGCCACCTGTACCTCAGTAGGCAAGACGCGGGAAGCCAAAAACCTCCGGAAGGACAGAACCGAAGGACCCGAAGGGATATGGAGCCGAACCCAGGTAGGGGCTGAACTCAAATCTATCTCGTACGTAGAGGGGGAGAAAGGAAAACCCCACTCCATGTAACAAAAAACCCTGCTCTGAGGGTTGGAAAACCCAGGCAGAGTCCAAAGAGGCCCAAGGCCCCCAAGTCAGCCCCGCCCCAACCCCGGGAACCTCCACATCAGGCTCCGGTGAGGAGTCATCCTCGAAAGCCACGGCCTCACCAGAAAAACCTGGGGCAGCCGAAAAAGCAGAAAGGAAAGGGGCCCACTGGTCAGATCCCGTCGCTACGGTTGGAGGAACCGATTCAAATGCATCTGTCGCCACCCTGGAACGAGCAACCCCCGAAACTGCCCGAGTCTCAGAATCCTTTAAACCCCACCCCAACCCCAAAGCCCTCAGATGCTTCGGAACCGGAAGCAAAGATGGGGAGGGGGGAGGAAACCAGAATGAACCACAGCAGGGGAAGAACGAAGGGGTGAGGACTGAACCAAGGCCGAAGTGACCAACACCCCGAAGCCTTGGGCCAGATAAGCAAAGAGGGACAGCCTCAGGGGATCCGGGGTAGCAACCAACCTATCACGTTGCAGCAACCTAAACCTAGCATGCAACGCCTGAGCTGCCTGCACCCGAACAATGTCATCAGTTGATTGGGTGAATTGAATCACAAACAAGCAACAATGCTCACAGGACTCTGGGTCGAAGGTGTCACCAACCCAACAGGCAGCATGACGGAGGCAAAAACAATGAGCATTGCCCTGAGACAAGGGGACAGAGCAACCCTCAAACTTGCACAAGGCAAGAGGGGACCCAGGAGTCGCATCCATTGGACTCTATGCGCCCCTGCAGGGTTTCCCAGGGCCCCTAGACTGGTATCACTCAGGGTAAGCCCAGGCTGGGTACTTCTAACTGGCGCCCAATTCTATCAAACAAACTTCTAAACCTAAACACCCAGGACATGTCCTCTCACGGGGGCCAAGCAGGGGGGTACCACCAAACACAGGTGGTCAAGATCCTAAATTAACAGAGGGCAGGGGAACAAAAGCAGACATCCCCACTAGGCAGAAACAAAAAGGAAAAGAAAACCCCGCAAGAGGACAACGTACCCAGGAGGAACACAGCCAGCTGCTATAGTAGGAGATAACCAGTGCGCAGTACCCCGTGCCCCCACCAGTGCAAAACTACCACTTACCCGAAGGTAACAAGGGAGAAGGAAACCACCCTGGGAGGTTTGCTCGGTAACAGACCTCCCAGGGCGGTCTGTTACCGAGCAACAAATGATCAACAGAGGTAGACCCCAAGCTGACTTGTGGAAGATAACCAAAAGCCCCAAGGGCAGTACTTACATGGCACGCAGGGAAGGGGAACCCTAAGCACGTGCAGCCTGAGTACCTGTAAATATTACTCCCAGCTCTCACATTACCGTGAGAGTAGTACTGAACACACGGCACAGCACATCACAGAGAGAATCAGGAACTGGAGCCACACGACCAAGCCTCAAACACATCAGAGGAGAACTAGAGTGTGGATAGTTGGCGCGAGGAGTCTGGGGCTCTACCTTCCATCTCCCAGGGAGGGGGGAGCTGCACAGACAAGTGGTGCGGCACATATGACATCATGCTCGTTTGCTCGTTTTCATTTGGAGAGTTCTGTCCACTCGTTACTTCTCAGTAGTAGTTTTAACCAAAATAGGGGTTTGTTTTGAGGTGCTTACCTTTCTGGGTGCCTGGCCCGGTCGATGGCAGACATAGAATGCTCCGAATCACATATGCAATTCTATAGTAAATTGCTCCTCGTGCCTCTCTGAGGGGGCCAGGTTCTGTCTCATGGTCCCCGGTAGGCCTAGAACTCTATTCACACTGACTGATGCCAAAGTCTAATAACACATATCAGCCTGGATAGCTCCGAAGAGCCGAAGAGGCTCCCCCCAGAAAAACTTACGTTAAAGATTTACAAAATTAATATTCAACTAGTTCTGTGAGCTGATATTTGTTAAAGGGACGCAATCTGGCCGACCTCGAACAGCATACGACGGTCACATACCACACACATGTCGTTGTGAAAAGTTGGATGAGGTTATCCCCAAGCCTCTACCCTCCAAACTTTGTACAGACAGACAGACATTCTCTTTTACAGATATGGATAAGTAAACACAGAGACTACTTAATAATGAACAGTTGGTCGACCTCTTCACCTACGCCACCAATAATGAAGGACTTACTGTTGTATGATCGTTTCCTCGTCAGCGCTGCCGACACTAGCGAGGTGACCCCCGACAGACACGCACAGTTCCTCCGCCCGGCCCCACGGCAGTGCCTCCGAGAACACCTGAAACGACGCCATTGATCACCGCCACACCTCAACGATGTATACGGTACATATCCTTTAGAGACTAGCCAAGAGGTGTTCTGAGATGGTGCCATGACATGTACGAAATAAGAACATATATTAAGTCTGAACAAGAGTTTAAGGGTCACCACACAAGGCCTGTTGGTCTGTACTAGGCGAGTCCTGCATCTCTCATGTAAGTGCAGAATAAGACCTTTTTTTTCTACAATCTGACTCAGTATTAAGGGGCCCTGATGTTAGGTATCAACCCTCTCAACCTTTTCTGAATTATCTCTAAAGATTCAATGTCCTTACTGCAATAGAGCGACAAGGTGTCTGGGGGCCTCGGGGCGCCACCAACCAAGATGCTAAAGCCTTATTCACAATTTGATCAACTAATGACTGTAATATTGAGGTAGTAATTAGCATCATTGTCTTTCTCCAGGTTAAAGAATTTGCATTTACTTGAATTTACGTGAGAGCCACCATCTCTCCTTAATTCATGACTTCAGCAGAGACAGTGACGTCTTCCCCATTTTTCATGAGAATTTTTTTTCAGTTGAATCTTGAACTGAAGTAATGTCTCGACACTGACAGCTTCAGCTCCTGTTTTTAAGATTCTTCCTTCGTGTACTAAATCCGCGTGGCGTCCAAGAACTTGCTGATGTTACTGTTCTCTCCGGCATCTTGGACGGTGATTCAAACTGTGAAAATCTGAGGTCCCAGCACAGAACCCTGTGGCACACCACTAGGCACATAAACCCATCCCATCTTCACTAATTATTCTGACCCTCTGTTTCTGTCTTTTTGCCATACCATTTTAGGGTATGATTGAAGGGCATTGAAGGATAGCACCTTCCTCCGATGCCAAGCACTTGGGCCTTGCTAAGCCGCCTTTCCAGAAGAACCATGGCAGAGACCTACTGAGGTCCAGATGGACTGTACATATTTCTTATTATTGTCACCTGCCTCGGATGTGCTTGTGAGAAAATATTTTTTCGGAGTTAAACTATCGACTATAATGCAAATATTGGATTAAAATTAGGAAAGTCGTAAATTTTGAGAAGAAATTGTGATAAAATATGCCAGACAAGAGTGAAGGACCGCACCTCAGAAGCATAAACAATTTGGATAAAATAATGGTTCAATTATGATGACCAAACCACACATCAAAAGACGAAGAAATGACGATGTTTCGCACACGACTTGATAACGGTCCAGGACGGACCGAAATGTAGTCGTTTCTCCATCTACTCATGTGTGGTTTGGTCAACATATCTTCAGCTACGTTATTGTGACTCATCGCTTACAATGGCTAAATTAAAATTCAACTCTTATCAAAGGATTCAAATTTCGATAATTTAGATTCATAAAGGACATAGGTAAACAATGGTTTGGCAGCAGTCAGAAGAGCGAACCAAAATGACAAGTACCATTTTTGATAAAAGCCAAACACAGGAATGTTTAAAATATGCCACAGACACAAACATATAATTCAATATGTAACATGTAAAAATAAATTCAATAAAATATGCAAAAATAAATGCTTTAAAGAATGTATTTAGCTAACATGAACCAGTAGGCCTACTGTAGACCTATTTACTCTTTGTTCTTAAGTTGACGCAGTAGTGTTTGGGGCTGGACTGAACACAGGTTGGTGAACCAAGTATCGTTCATACCTGATAGCAGCGGTCGTCTTGGTGACTCCAGCCATAGGCGCAGTAGGCGCCGGGGGACAATGTGGTAGGTACCGGAGGCGAGGTGTACCCGCTGCGGTCATACTCACCTGCAGGAGGAGCAGCAGGAGATGGTATTACAACACATTGTTACCATACATTATGACCACAAGGGGTTTGAGTACTCATCCCTGTGGCACCCCACTTCTGAACCAACTTTCCCTCCTGCCGCTCCTACAGTCTTCCACGACAGTCAGGAAACACTTCATGACTGTCGTGGAAAACCCAGCCACTTCACCCTTCTCGATCCTGTTTTATCTTTGCGATTTTTTTTATGATACTCTAATAGATTTGTTAGACATGATCAACCTTTGCTAAAATAATGTTGATGTTTGAAGAGAAAACACGTTTTTTCTAGGTGTTTGTGTGACCACTTATGGACATGTTCGTGGTATTCCTTAATCTAAATTTAGTCATATACATTAGATTAAATGTAGTGTATATTCTAATCGTATACATTTGAATTATAATTTGTAACGCTTTCAATGCTTTTGGCTGTGGTGCCTTTTCTAAACATCTTTTAATGGCAAGAATTCTAAATTCTATTCTAAGATGTTTAGAATGTTAAAAATTCTATTCTAAGAGGTTTAGAATGTTAAGAATTAAATTCTGAGATGTTTAGAATGTTAAGAATTCATTTCTAAAATGTTTAGAATTCTAATATTAAATTCTAAATAATTCTAAACATCTTAAAATATTCTAAACAAGTAAACTGCTATTTGTGAAGCACCAGTTAACACATCACATATCCCAATAAACCCGAGTTCGATTCCAGGGGAGAGAAACACGTTTGAAAACATTTCCTTAAACCTGATACCACTGTTCACCAAGCAGTCTAGATAATGATAATGAGTTATGCAACTGTTGATGGTCGCATTCTGGGAAAGGCCCGTCGTTGGCCTAGTGAGGCTTCCATAGGCCTAATTAACAGTCATCGTGTTGCAACACTCAGCACAATCAATATGCTCAAAATGTTGCTGTAATTATTGGTTTTATAAAACATACAAATAGAATACCTAATAATTAGCCAACGTAACCTTGTCGTCTGTATTTGTATACAAATAAGTTATTATTATTATTATTATTATTGAGAAATTCCATAGGAGCCTTGAGGAGGATCCGAACCGATGCTCTGGGTATTCTCAAGTACATGACTTTTACAACATCTCCTCATGGCTCCTTCTGATTTTTTCGTTGATACGTCCCATTAATGTGAGTTCTTTGTGCATTATCGTTATTATTATGGGAACCAGACATTTCCTCAAGTCTGTTCTTCAGAACTGTCGATATTCAACCCGTCCTCCTGTTTAGACAGTACCTATTGTGACGGTCGTCAATAGTCACGAATTCGTACGTTCTTAGCTTTTAGATAGTAGTATACTGACTAGTAAGGAATTATTTTAAAATAAATGATAATAAAAAATAAACTTAAATATTCCGAGGCCTAGGACACATATGTATTATATTAGGCTTCGGATAGCGTTGTACGAAAACCCGACACCATTTACTAATATTAAATACAATATGCAGTTAATATTGTTTCGTACAAATTAATCCCAGAAATAGTGCTTTAATCCGTCATAGAAGACGTGGCACAGTGAAATGTTCCTCAGTAGATTACGGGCGATATTATTGCCACATGTCGCTATTAATTCACCAATTAATTCTGTTGAGAACATTCTTAATACAGTAGTCTTTGGACTGTAATCATCATAAAAACATCTCACTTGAATTAACTTTACTATTAGCACTAAAATAGAGTAAATGTAGACACTCTCTAACCACTCCTTGATGCACCTGGAGAACAAGGGATACGTCAGTGGGAGGGAGGCCTCAGAGTGAGCCATTGTTAATTTTAACAACAGGTCGCTGGAGCAGAACAGCTCCAATATTCTCCCTTGGACCGCTGTGTTACGGAAGTAAAGTGCTTCTGTTATCGACACGCAACTACGTCTACTACAAGGGCAGTGTATTACCAAAACCCGTTTATTATCTTTACATTCCTGGCCAGTTATGTTAGGTATATATTGGGCGAACCCGTTAGCACACGAGGCAGCGACCAACCCAGAGTGAGTAATTTTCTCATCTCTTTATTTAAATTGGCAATATTTCCTCTGATACAGCTGTCATACATATATAGGGTTCCTGCTATTATTTCAAGTGCCCCTCGACAGGATTAAGAGAAGAGGAACAAGAATTAATCCTAGTACTCCAGTACGGAGTGGGAGCTGGTGGGAGCCAGCCACACCCACAAAGTGGATCATCTGGCTTATTCATCCGTGTCCATACTGGTTGACTAGGCCCACTTCCATACAGATAAAGATAAGCTGTTGTTAATTTACTAATATATGTAGTTTAATACTGTAGTGAACGTCTGCTAATCAATAATTTTGATTAACTACATATATAAATCCAAAAACCCCCATAATATGTTTTGATCGAGATCGATTTGTGAGACATTTTAGAAATAGAGCACTAAATATCATACAATTTGCTATCGAAATATATAAATTAACGTCAAATATAAATTCATATATATTAAATAAATATAAATCTCAAAGGTCGGTTCCTCATAGGTGGCGACGTCTGTCATACATAATCATAGAACAGAACAGAGTACAAATGGTACGATAGACAGGGCCTGGAGAAGGTATGGGAGTACATGATAGTGGTGAGCCTTACAGATATAGCTGTAGGTATCCTCACAGTTCCTCACGATCCACAAGCCTGGGTTGGACTTCTTGCCGGAAGCCACCACGCACGTCCCGTGGCTGACATCTGTGAAGGGGACAGTAGTAAGTCACTCTGATCTTTACTGATGCATATTGAACAACAAAGCCACCTCCCTGATGGATTATAGATTAACTATAGTTCCATTATCCACGCCGGCCCCGCCTAGACACCTTGTAGGCCTGAAGGGGATTTATTGTGCCCTCATCTACATTAATATATCCCATGCAACTTGTAGATAATACAGAAGTCCCTTATTAACGACGATACTTCCCAGCCAGCTTGTAGATGATCTACGAGGCTGCCATTCCTTCTCGCTAACTCCCTTCTGTGGTAACTATTTTTTAAGTTCATTATCATATATTTCATCAATTATAAGACGTTAAGAGTTTATTGTTTTGCTATTTTCGTGTATGTGTTTTGTATAGTTTTAAACATACATGCAACTAACCTGGCTGAAATTCGTCCCAGTTGGAAAAGTCGACAGGATCGCCATTGACCCAAGTGAAGGAGATGGAGCCATCTTCATCGACGGCGGCTGAGAGACCAGTCCAGACCCAGCTGTCAAGGTCTCCCAGGAAGGCAGCTACGAAAGCATTCTCGTACCTACAGGAGAGTTCTGTAGTTGTTGCTGCTATCGCTACGACTATGGCTGGTTCTCTCTCCTTGTCTGCGTTAATTACTGCTAGTTTATATTGCTTCAGAGCTAATAGCTTAAATAAAAATTTTATAAGAAAGTTTCACATACCAAAATATTAATTTTTGTTTTTAGGATTAATCTGGGCCAACTTATTTCATTAAGATCAAACCAGTAGAGATACAATGAAGATATGGGGAAGGCAAGTATACTTATGAGAGTATATAAACTTTCCTGTGGACGAGACCAGGTGAGCCTCGGGAGGCTGATGTCTCAACGAGGACCTCGAGGCTCATTACCCGGTACCCACCTGTCGTCACAGACCAGAAGACTCACTCTCCGGTACTCACCTGTCGTCACAGACCAGAAGACTCACTCTCCGGTACTCACCTGTCGACACAGACCAGAAGACTCACTCTCCGGTACTCACCTGTCGTCACAGACCAGAAGACTCACTCTCCGGTACTCACCTGTCGACACAGACCAGAAGACTCACTCTCCGGTACTCACCTGTCGTCACAGACCAGAAGACTCACTCTCCGGTACTCACCTGTCGTCACAGACCAGAAGACTCACTCTCCGGTACTCACCTGTCGTCACAGACCAGAAGACTCACTCTCCGGTACTCACCTGTCGTCACAGACCAGAAGACTCACTCTCCGGTACTCACCTGTCATCTATCACCAAAAGGTTCGCTCCCTGAGACTCACAGGCAGACTTGGCCTGACTCCACGACAGCTTCACGTCCAACAGCTTGTAACAGGAAGCTTTATACGCTCCGTCATCCTGTTCAGTTTTAGTTGAATTAGTTCATATTAATTACCCTCATACCCCCATCCTGTGGATGGTGGAAGACCCCATACCCATCCTTTGTACGGTGGAAGACCCCATACTCATCCTTTGTACGGTGGAAGACCCCATACCCATCCTTTGTACGGTGGAAGACCCCATACCCATCCTGTGGATGGTGGAAGACCCCATACCCATCCTTTGTACGGTGGAAGACCCAATACCCATCCTGTGTATGGTGGAAGACCCCATACTCATCCTTTGTACGGTGGAAGACCCAATACTCATCCTTTGTACGGTGGAAGACCCCATACCCATCCTGTGTACGGTGGAAGACCCCATACTCATCCTGTGTACGGTGGAAGACCCCATACTCATCCTGTGTACGGTGGAAGACCCCATACCCATCCTGTGTACGGTGGAAGACCCCATACCCATCCTGTGTACGGTGGAAGACCCCATACCCATCCTGTGTACGGTGGAAGACCCCATACCCATCCTGTGTACGGTGGAAGACCCCATACCCATCCTGTGTACGGTGGAAGACCCCATACTCAACTTTGTACGGTGGAAGACCCCATACCCATCCTTTGTACGGTGGAAGACCCCATACCCATCCTTTGTACGGTGGAAGACCCCATACCCATCCTGTGTATGGTGGAAGACCCCATACCCATCCTGTGTATGGTGGAAGACCCCATACCCATCCTGTGTATGGTGGAAGACCCCATACCCATCCTGTGTACGGTGGAAGACCCCATACCCATCCTGTGTATGGTGGAAGACCCCATACCCATCCTGTGTATGGTGGAAGACCCCATACCCATCCTGTGTATGGTGGAAGACCCCATACCCATCCTGTGAACGGTGAAAGACCCCACACAACATACTTTGTACGGTAGAGGACCCCATACCCACTTCACCAGAGTATCTCTACGGTGACACATGCCACCACCTCACCTGACAGAGTATCTCTACAGTGACACATGCCACCACCTCACCTGACAGAGTATCTCTACAGTGACACATGCCACCACCTCACCTGACAGAGTATCTCTGCGGTGACACATGCCACCACCTCACCTGACAGAGTATCTCTACGGTGACACATGCCACCACCTCACCTGACAGAGTATCTCTACGGTGACACATGCCACCACCTCACCTGACAGAGCATCTCTACAGTGACACATGCCACCACCTCACCTGGCAGAGTATCTCTACGGTGACACATGCCACCACCTCACCTGACAGAGTATCTCTACGGTGACACTTGCCACCACCTCACCTGGCAGAGTATCTCTACGGTGACACATGCCACCACCTCACCTGGCAGAGTATCTCTACGGTGACACATGCCACCACCTCACCTGACAGAGTATCTCTACGGTGACACATGCCACCACCACACTTGGCAGAGTATCTCTACGGTGACACATGCCACCACCTCACCTGACAGAGTATCTCTACGGTGACACATGCCACCACCACACTTGGCAGAGTATCTCTACGGTCACACTTGCCACCACCTCACCTGACAGAGTATCTCTACGGTGACACTTGCCACCACCTCACCTGACAGAGTATCTCTACGCTGACACATGCCACCACCACACTTGGCAGAGTATCTCTACGGTGACACATGCCACCACCTCACCAGGCAGAGTATCTCTACGGTGACACATGCCACCACCTCACCTGGCAGAGTATCTCTACGGTGACACATGCCACCACCTCACCTGACAGAGTATCTCTACGGTGACACATGCCACCACCACACTTGGCAGAGTATCTCTACGGTGACACTTGCCACCACCTCACCTGACAGAGTATCTCTACGGTGACACTTGCCACCACCTCACCTGACAGAGTATCTCTACGGTGACACATGCCACCACCACACTTGGCAGAGTATATCTGCGGTGACACATGCCACCACCTCACCAGGCAGAGTATCTCTACGGTGACACATGCCACCACCTCACCTGACAGAGTATCTCTACGGTGACACATGCCACCACCTCACCTGGCAGAGTATCTCTACGGTGACACATGCCACCACCTCACCTGGCAGAGTATCTCTACGGTGACACTTGCCACCACCTCACCTGGCAGAGTATCTCTACGGTGACACATGCCACCACCTCACCTGACAGAGTATCTCTACGGTGACACATGCCAGCACCTAACCTGACAGAGTATCTCTACGGTGACACATGCCACCACCTCACCTGACAGAGTATCTCTACGGTGACACATGCCACCACCTCACCTGGCAGAGTATCTCTACGGTGACACTTGCCACCACCTCACCAGGCAGAGTATCTCTACGGTGACACATGCCACCACCTCACCTGACAGAGTATCTCTACGGTGACACATGCCACCACCTCACCTGGCAGAGTATCTCTACGGTGACACATGCCACCACCTCACCTGACAGAGTATCTCTACAGTGACACATGCCACCACCTCACCTGACAGAGTATCTCTACGGTGACACATGCCACCACCTCACCTGACAGAGTATCTCTACGGTGACACATGCCACCACCTCACCTGGCAGAGTATCTCTACGGTGACACATGCCACCACCTCACCTGACAGAGTATCTCTACAGTGACACATGCCACCACCTCACCTGACAGAGTGTCTCTACGGTGACACATGCCACCACCTCACCTGACAGAGTATCTCTACGGTGACACATGCCACCACCTCACCTGGCAGAGTATCTCTACGGTGACACATGCCACCACCTCACCTGACAGAGTATCTCTACAGTGACACATGCCACCACCTCACCTGACAGAGTATCTCTACGGTGACACATGCCACCACCTCACCTGACAGAGTATCTCTACGGTGACACATGCCACCAGCTCACCTGGCAGAGTATCTCTACGGTGACACATGCCACCACCTCACCTGGCAGAGTATCTCTACGGTGACACATGCCACCACCTCACCTGGCAGAGTATCTCTACGGTGACACATGCCAGCACCTCACCAGGCAGAGTATCTCTACGGTGACACATGCCACCACCTCACCTGGCAGAGTATCTCTACGGTGACACATGCCACCACCTCACCTGGCTGAGTATCTCTACGGTGACACATGCCACCACCTCACCAGGCAGAGTATCTCTACGGTGACACATGCCACCACCTCACCAGGCAGAGTATCTCTACAGTGACACATGCCACCACCTCACCTGGCAGAGTATCTCTACAGTGACACATGCCACCACCTCACCTGGCAGAGTATCTCTACGGTGACACATGCCAGCATCTCTCTTTAAAAGGTCTGCAAGATTATGGAATAGGTCTAAAAGATAATGGTATAGGTCAACAAGATTATGGAACAGGTCTTCACAATTATGTCATAGGTCAACAAGATTATAGAATTTTCGTACAAGATTATAAAATAGGTCTGCAAGATTGCGGAATTCGTATACAAGATTATGCATTCTAAGACCGGCGGCATTGCCAGATCAAGCTAGATTGGATCTCTACACTGAATGATAACTACTCGGGTTGATCACTACACTGACCGATCATTACACTCACTGATCACTACTCTGGTTGATCACTTCATTGACTGATCATGACACTCACTGATCATTACTTTGGTTGATCACTACACAGACTGAACACTACATTGACTGATCATTTCTCTGTTTGATCACTACGCTGACTGATCACTACATGATTGATCACTATTCTAGTTGATCACTACTCTGGTTGATCACTACACTAGCTGATTACTACACTCACTGATCACTACTATGGTTGCTCACTAAACTCACTAATCACTACACTCAACGATCACTGTGTAGCTCTACACAGAGCAAACGAGTTAGTCGATGCTTGGGCAACCACCTCTAGCTTCAATAATCTTCCCCCAGACACACAATTCAGGTTAAATACTGGTTACGGAGATCGAGAAAGGCTCCTTGACTTCATGCTCCAGAGAGGAAGATGAATGCAACTTGCCATTTACTGAGTTTGAGTTACTTTCGGTCCTAAACACAGGTAAAGCCACATCACCCGGTGAGGATGGTATCACTTATGACATATTGCGTCTGCTCCCTTTAGTACCAGGGAATCCCCTGCTTGAGCTGTATAATATGAGCTATGTTACTGGGGAACTTCCTATCTCTTGGACCAACAGTATAATCATTCCAATTCCCAAGCCAAATCAAGAGAATGCTTTCCGCCCAATTTCCCTTACTAGCTGCATTTGCAAAACATTCGAGAGAATGGTCTTAAACCGTCTCCTCCATAGAGTAAGAACCATGCTATCCCCCCAGATATATGGCTTCATGCATGGAAGGAATATGCATCATTGCATCACCACATTTCTTACCCTGCACACTGAAAAGTCATTTACCACCTTCCTAGATCTCAAGTCTGCCTTTAATATTACAAATCGACATGTTATCTTGAGTAAACTTGCATGAATGAATTTTGATGGTCGGCTTCTTTGTTGGATCAGGGATTACTTATCCAACAGAAGTCATCTGTATTTTTCCAGGGGGCATAGGAGTCTCTACAAGAGACTTCGAACTAGGTATCCCGCAGGGAGGTGTCCTCAGTTCTACCTTATTTAATATCTTAATAAACACGCTGTTAAACTCTGTACCGAGCAAACCCAACGTCCACATCATTAGCTATGCTGATGATATAATGATACACACCACTAGGTATGCTAACACGCAGAACACTCTTAACTCTGTATTAGACTCATGTCAGGACCTAGGTTTAATTATCTCAGCAGAGAAAACAAAGATACTAAATCGGCGCCCACCCAGGCAGGGAGGAGCTGTTCGCAAGATGCAACTGTCTGATGGCTCCCAGCTTGACTGTGTAAACAGATTCAAATACCTTGGCCTTTGGTGCCACTGTATGGTCCTGTTGTATTCAGACTCTGTCGTCAGTATAGAAAGAGGCTCCGAGCTCTCAAGGCTGTTGGTTATCACTCAGGCTATGGTGCCAATATCAGAATTGTCAAAATGATGTACCTTGCATACATCAGATCTTTAGTGGATTATGCTGCACCTCTGCTTGTTTTGATGCCTGAAAGAAAGCTTGGAGGGCTTGAAAAATTGCAGAACGAAGCCTTGAGGATAATCCTTGGATGCCTTCGTACCACAAAGATACTTAATATGAGAAAGGAACTTAATATTCCGAGCGTTGTTGATCGTGTTACTGAAATTAACTGTCAAATTGGTATTAAAATGCTTAGGCTAACCCTTGCACAGAAGCCCTCCAGAATTTCTTTATTGAAGATCAGCATTGTTCCAAATGGATAACTAAAACTGGAACTCAACTCAGAATGTATCAGGTTCATAATTTGTACCAAGAGAAACAACAACGGCACTTTCCTGCACCGTGGGAGGTCACACCCTTTCCAGTTTTAATCCCTCCCTTTCCACCCAAGAAGCAAATTAGAGATCAGCCCAAGCTTCGTCTTGAGGCAAAGCTCATCACCTTAAGCTATATTGATGCTCTGTCCACAGAGCATTCTCTCTCTCAAATCATATACACTGATGGTTCCCTACACCGCACCACGGGTGCAGCTGGAAGTGCAGTTGTCCTGACAATGGGCGATGGCTTGTACTTTAAGTGGGGGAGTCCGTATAAACGACTGAGCCTCTACCCTTCAGACCGAACTATTTACCTTGCTCCTTGCACTGAAATGTGTACAAGTCTCCAAATTTGAAACATTAATTGTAAGTGACTCCTTATCATCCTTAATTGCTCTCAACTCTTTAAGACATAACTGTAACATGCTCGTGTCCGAAGCTAGACACAAATACAACAAAATTATTAAAGATGGTAACAGAGTCCATTTCATGTGGTCTCCATCTCATGTTGGCCTCCGAATGCATGATAGAGCTGTTAAAAATCAAAGAATCAAAGAATTAGCCAAAGAATCTGCCTTTAAAGGAGATGTTGAGTGTAACCTTGGATTGTCAATGAGCAATCTGAGAGCAGCAGTATACCGAGAACTTCAACAAGATCTTGTAGATCTGAGGCAAAGTAAAATTGACACCAGTAATTCCATCTATCCTCATACTATCATGTAAGAGGAGCCACACATCTATGGATCATCCAATAAAATCAGCAGACTTCTAGATGTTACTACTGCTCGGCTTAGACTCGGTTACAAGTATCTCTGGGAATTCTCATTATCTGCCGATGTAGACCTGACCAAATGTAAACTGTGTCAACAAAATTATTTGCACACCCTCCGTCACTATGTGATGGAGTGCGAAAAGATACGTGAATTCAGAGACAATTCTATAACCAATGTTCCAACGATGTGTAAATATTTCATTCAAAATGATCTGCTACCAGAAACTTTTAGCCAAATATCCCCAGTTTGCTAACTGTAGGTAGTAACTAAGTGACTGTAACCTATCCACCGCTGCCCACTGGATGGGGGGCGGTGTGCAGACCAAACATATCAATTTTGACACTAGCTCTCCACATATGTCAGTTGCTTAATTTAGAAACTGTACTTGTGGTCGAACTCGAACCCATTGTTGATGTGATGACTTATACTGAATTTTGTAACTAGCTCATCAAGATTGTAACTTGTTTAGCTAAATGAACTGTGGGGTTCAGTCCCTGAGCCCATTATGTGCCTCTGTAACCCTGTCCACTACCGCCCACAAGATGGGTATGGGGTGCATAATAAATGAATTAAACTGAACTAAACTCAATGATCACTACTATGGTTGATCACTACACTCACTAATCACTACTTTGGTTGATCACTACACTGACAGATCACTGCACTGGCTGATCACTTCACTGACTGATCACCTACTCTGGCTGATTGATCACTACACTCACTCATCATTTCTCTGGGTGATCACTACCCTGACTTATCACTACTCTGGTTGATCACTACACTGGCTGGTCACTACACTCATTGATCACTACTCTGTTGATCAATACACTGACAGATCATGCACTACACTGGCTGATCATGCACTACACTGACTGAATACTACTCAGGTTGATCACTACACTCACTGATCACTATACTGACTGACCACTACACTGACTGATCACTACGCTGACTGATCACTAAACTGACTGATCACTACACTGGCCGATCACTACTCTGGTTGATCACTACACTGACTGATCACTACACTGACTGATCACTACACTGACTGATCACTACACCGACTGATCACTACACTGACTGATCACTACACTGACTGATCACTACACCGACTGATCTCTGCACAGGCCGATCAGCCAGTGATCACTACACTACACTACACGCTTAATTATCACTTCACTGGATTATCACTAAGCTGGATTATCACTACACTGGATTATCACTACACTGGATTATCACTACACTGGATTATCACTACACTGGATTATCACTATGCTGGATTATCACTACACTGGATTATCACTATGCTGGATTATCACTACACTGGATTATCACTATGCTGGATTATCACTATGCTGGATTATCACTATGCTGGATTATCACTACACAGGATTATCAATACACAGGATTATCACTACACTGGATTATCACTACACTTAATTATCACTACACTGGATTATCACTACACAGGATTATCACTATGCTGGATTATCACTATGCTGGATTATCACTATGCTGGATTATCACTACACAGGATTATCAATACACTGGAATATTACTGTGGTGGATTATCACTATGCTGGATTATCACAGCACTCGATTATCACTACTCTTAATTATCACTACACTGGATTATCAGTATGTTGATAATTACTCTGCTGGATTATCACTACACTAGATTTTCACTACACTGGATTATCACTATGCTGGATTATCACTATTCTGGATTATCACTACACTAGATTTTCACTACACTGGATTATCACTACACTGGATTATCACTATGCTGGATTATCACCATGCTGGATTATCACTACACTGGATTAACACTACACTGGTTGATAACTACACTGGATTATCACTACACTGGCGGATCATTACACTGGATTATCACTACACTGGCTGATCACTACACTGGATTATCACTACACTGGTTGATCACTACACTGGATTATCACTACACTGGGTGATAACTACACTGGATTATCACTACACTGGCGGATCACAACCCTGGATTACCATAGGCCACACAATTCACACATCACAACTAATGATTCATTCTGCAGTTTAATATAAATCTAAACACAAGCCTCTATATTCCAGCACATATAATGAAATCAATTAATGTCTTACCTCATAGCAGCCGGTCTGGGATGGATTGATGGGTGTGGCTTCTTGAGGCTTCTTGCAGACATAATCATTAATTGTGTTACAGTCTTCTCGTTCCCATTTTGCTTCAGCATACAAGAAAATTGATACACAAAAAGGGTCTGAGGTGAAATCTGAAATAAGAAATATTGTTATTTCAGCCCATCCTTGTAGGAAAGTATTTGTAGTAATGATTTGATGGGAAGTGCCAGTATGCTATACTGGCTGTTTCCATGGCGTAGTGGAAAGACGCTCGTCTGGCGTTTTGCGAGCGCTTTGTCCTGGGTTCGTACCCTGGCCGCGGAGGATTTACTGGGTGCAGATCCTGAATTGTAGCCTATGTTTAACCCAACAGTAAAATGGGTACTTGGTGGTAAAAACGGTTCTTCCCGGGGGTCGTATTCCGGGGAACATATGATTAAGGACTTGCCCGGAAACACTACGTCTATTAGTGGCTTTTCAAGAATGTAACAACTCTTGCATGTATATATATATATATATATATATATATATATATATATATATATATATATATATATATATATATATATATATATATATATATATATATATATATGTGTGTGTGTGTGTGTGTGTGTGTGTGTGTTTTTTTTTTTGAAAGTTTTGTTGAACAAGTTACGTTGTCAGCGATAATTGGCGCAACATATCTATCATATTGTGAGTACATCACACATGCAGTGAGTCAGATTACAAGTGTGTAATTCATTCATTATTGTGCAGTGATATACGGGGGAATTATACCAGTGTTAGTGTCACCCTGAGCCCCGCCCCCACCCAGCGCCCAGGCCGGGAAGTACCTGCTCTCCCCCTCCTTCCCCACCCCACCACGTCGCCTCCCCACCCACGAGGCCACCTTGCCACCCGCCCATAGGGCCCGGGAGGCTCCCATGTGTGTCTACGCCACCCACTCACCCAATGTATACCCACATATTGTGTAGTGGGTGTATACCCACACTTCGTATAGAGGTGGTATATGTATTACCACTCATCTGAGTAGTAAGTGCCACGGCCAGCTGACTATCCCCCCAGCCTCCAACCGCCGCCCACCCTCCAGTCTCCACCCGCCGTCCACCCTCCCGCCCAGCGCCCGCCCAGCGCCCGCCCATGTCGCAGCTCTCAACAGACAGCCAGGCTTCTCCAAGCCAAGATGAGCCATCAAGCAGGGGTGTCGGAAAATCCGACACCATTTAATAATAATATCATACAGACAGATAATAGCTGTATTACCAACAAGTTACCCATAGAAAACGTAACTTGTAGTGGAATTACCGTCTATAGAAAACGGGATATCATCACCACATACTATTATTCTCCACCTATTATGGTGGGAATTATTCTTAAATACATTAGTCTTTGGACTTTACCATCATAAAAATATCTTATATAAATTAACTTAATTATCAATATTAAAGTAGAGTAAATGTGACCCTTCTATCACTTTCTGAAATCTGGACAATGTAAGCTAGGCATCAGAGTGAGGGAGGAGGGCAGCCATTGTTGTGTCACCTCCGAGACGTGTGGAGCAAATTTGGCTCCTATCATATCTGGACAATGTCGGCCAGGCGTCAATAGTATGGAGTGTTAGATGCAGCCATTATTGAGACTAGACCAGAGGCTCACACGGGAGCAAATTCGGCTCCTGTTAAATTTACTTGGACGTAGTGTTATGGAAACTAAAAGTGTACCATTATCAACACGCTGTCTACAAATTCAAGTTAAGTGTTCTTTCCGAAACCCATTATCTATCATTAGTGGCCATTAATGTCATTGGGTAGGGTTAGCCGGTTAGAACGCGAAATCGCCTCATACTAAAGGTAATTAAGCCAGGTCTTTATTGTTCCATGTACAGTGTTTTCTCTGATATAGCTTGTCATATATAGAATCTGGCTTTACAGCTAGCGCCCTTTTGACAGGTCAAGATGAGGAAGGCTTTGTGCATCAGTTACTGGGTGATGGAAGCTACCTCAAAGAGGATAATTTGGTGTCTACACCCTAGTTATACCTGGTGGACTAACCTGCTGTACTATAAGATAAGGAACCTCTTCAATGTATGTAGTCTATTCCTGTAATATGATTGGCTGCATATATATAAATATAAACCCCCCCTAATGTGTAGAGGATCGATTTGTGAGATTATGAGATTATTGCAGAAATACAGTCCACTTATTATTATACAAATTGCTATCGAAGTATATAAATTAACGTAAATATAAATTCTATATAAATTCATATAAATTAAATAAATATAAATCTCACAGGTCGGTTCCCACAAGGGGTAGACAAGGCAGATGTCAGACGTGTGACAGGGTATGCTATATCCGGTTGAGTGACGATAATGTGCGCAGTCATTACCACAACGGAGTCAGGTGTTTGGGTTCTGGGCCCAGGGAGAACACCAATCAACAGCCCACACCGCCCGTAAGGCAAAACACCTCCCAGACCTTCATTCCCACAGAAAACTTATGAGAAGCTATCAAAGCAACATCAGCCAGAACCTTGCAACACATCCATAAGCAGCCGGCCCAATGCAGCAGCCAAATTATCTGCCCTCCTGAGAAAGGTCAACGACTCTCCTGGAACGACCCAAGCATGGCACAACCTCCTAATGTTTGGCAACATATGTCTAGCCACCCCTGCAAGGAGAGACAAAACCTTAGCTGCCTCAGTCATCAAAGCTATAAATGATTTTCCCAGGGAGGACAACCAGGTGCGCCTTCCCACTCGCGCGAGAAACACCCACGGCAGGAAGAGCAACAGTGCCATATCCGAGACATCAAAAATCAGAACATCAGTCACCAAGAAAATAGAAGAAGGAAACACTATTGGCGCAATAAGAGTCATCACCAGTGAGGACTCAATTGCCGACAGAGATGCCGCAACAGCTCAAGCCCTAAGGGAGAAACACCCACCCAGGGCTCCGCGTGAGGACGACATTGTACAAGTGGGGGCTACCGGAGCAGAACCTCTCTGAGTGGCTGAATCTGAGGTCCATAAAACAGCCATGTCCTTCCTTACAGGATCAGCAGGTGGGTTCACAGGACTAAAACCCAACCACCTCAAGCAAATGCTCAACCCTGCACTGGGTGACATTGCAAAGAACCTCTTGGTGGAACTAACCAGATTCACCAACACATGTCTAGCTGGCAACATAACAGCGACCATAAGATCTATCTTTTTTGGAGCATCTCTCTGTGCTCTAAAGAAAAAGGATGGAGGGATCAGGCCAATAGCTGTGGGCAATTCTCTCCGGCGTCTCGTCGCAAAGGCAGCTGCAAGAACAGTTAGTGATGCAGCGGCCAACATGCTGAAGCCAAAACAGCTCGGTTCGGCATTCCACAAGGGTGTGAGGCGGCAGCCCATGCAGCTCGAGCCTTCATCGCCAACATCACAGACGAAAAGGCCCTTATCAAGCTAGATTTCAGACGCCGTCTACATGCATATACATGACTCGGGAAGTCATGACTCTTTGGTATATGCTTCAAGTAGCTTCCTGAGTGTGCTTTCAGGGCTGTCAAGGGGAGTACAAGCTAGATCTCGATAATCTCTGTCCATCTCATTCCAATGGTCCTATCCACTGGCACATTGGTGAACATTGACTCCACATTAAGAAAATAAGAACATTGACTTCGGTCTTTTTAGTGCTGATGATGAGACCGAAGTTGTCGTAGGCTCGTGAGAAGCAATCCATTTCGTGCTGCATCATTTACTGTGCTGGCGTTGAGGGCACAGTCATCAGCGAACAGGAAGTTTCTTATGACAGCTTCCTTCACTTTTGTAATGGCCTGTAGGCGCCTGAGGTTGAACAGCCCATCGTCAGTCCTGTATCTGATGGGCATTCCGTCCAGGCAATCACTGAAGGCACCAGTGAGCATGACCGAGAATACCATGCTGAAGAGTGTTGGGACGAGAACACAGTCCTGCTGCACACAGTTTGTCACCAGGAAGGCTTCTGACTCGTCACCATCGTCCAGTACTTTCACCATCATAACTGCGCGACAAACGTGGTGAACTTGCCTGGACAGCCAAATTTATCCATTATCTTCTAATCAGAAGAAGGGTAGGGATAATTATCAGGAGAAAGGTAAGGGGTAGTTATCAGGAAAAAGGCAGGGGTAATTATCAGGTGAAAGGTAGGGGTAATTATCAAGAGAAAGGTAGGAGTAATTATCAGGAGAAAAATAGGGGTAATTATCAGGAGAATGATAGGGGTAATTATCAGGAGAAAGGTAGGGGTAATTATCAGGAGAAAGGTAAGGGGTAATTATCAGGAGAAAGGTAAGGGGTAATTATCAGGAGAAAAGTAGGGTAATTATCAGGAGAAAGGCGAGGGTAATTATCAGGAGAAAGGCGAGGGTAATTATCAGGAGAAAGGCGAGGGTAATTATCAGGAGAAAGGTAGGGGTAATTATCAGGAGAAAGGTAAGGGTAATTATCAGGAGAAAGGTAGAGTAGGTATCAGGGCAAAGGTAGGGTAAATATAAGGAGAGAGGTAGGGTTATTATCAGGAGAACGCTATGTTAATTATCAGGAGAAAGGTAGGGGTAATTATCAGGAGAAAGGTATAGTAATTGCAATGAGAAATGTAATGTAATTATTAGAAGAAACGTAGGGGTAATTATCAAGAGAAATGTTGGGTACTCATCTGGAGAAAGGTAGGGTAATTATCGGAAGAAAGGAAGGGTAATTATCAATAGAAAGGTATGGTAATTACAATGAGAAAGGTAGGGGTAATTATCAGGAGAAAGGTAGGAGTAATTATCAGGAGAAAGGTAAGGGGTAATTATCACAAGAAAGTTAGGGGTAATTATCAAAAAAGGTAGCCATAATTAATAAGAGAAAGGTAGGGGTAATTACCAGGAGAAATATAAGAGTAATTATAAGGTAGGGGAAATTATCAGAATAAAGGTAGGGTAACTATTAGGAGAAAGGTAAGAATCAAAAGAAAGGTAGGGGTAATTATCAAGAGAAAGGTAAGAGTAATTATAAAGAGAAAGGTAAGGTAATTATCAGGGGAAAGGTAGGGAAATTATCAGGAGAAAAGTAAGGTAATTATCAAGAAAAAGGTAGGGGATGATAATCAGGAGAAAGGAAAGGGTAATTATCAGGAGAAACGTAAAGATAATTATGAGGAAAAAGGTAGGGGTAATTATCAGTAGAAAGGAAAGGGTAATTATTAGAATAGTAAGAGTAATTATGAGGAGAAAGGTAGGGTTAATAATGAAGAGAAAGGTAAGGTAATTATCAGGAGAAAGGTAAGGGTAATTATCAGGAGGAAAGTAGGGTTAATTATCAGTAGAACAGTAGGGGTGATTATCAGAAGAAAGGAAAGGGTAATTATTAGAATAAAGGTAGGGTAATTATCAAGAGAAAGGCAGGGGTAATTATTAGGAGAAAGGTATGGGTAATTATCAAAAGAAAGGTAGGGGTAAATATTAGGAGAAAGGTAGGATAATTATCAGGAGAAAGATAGGGAAATTATCAAGAGAAAAGTATAGTAATTATCAGGAAAAAGATAGAAGTGATAATCAGGAGAAAGGAAAGGGTAATTATCAGGAGAGAGGTAAGATAAATTATCAGGAGAAAGGTAGGGATGATAATCAGGAGATAGGTGGGGTAATTATCAGAAGAAAGGAAAGGGTAATTATCAGGAGAAAGGTAAGTGAAATTATCAGGAGGAAGGTTGGAGTAATTACAGGAGAAAGGTAGGGGTAATTATCAGGAGAACGGTAGGGGTAATTATTAGGAAAACGATAGCGGTAATTATCAGGAGAACGGTAGGTGTAATTATCATGAGAAAAGTAGGGGTAATTATCATGAGAAAGGTAGGGGTAATTATCAGGAGAAAGGTAGGCATAATTATCAGGAGAACAGTAGCGGTAATTATCAGGAGAAAGGTAGGGGCAATTATCAGGAGAAAGGTAGGGGTAAACAACAGAAGAAAGGAAAGGGTAATTATTAGGAGAAAGGTAAGGGTAATTATCAGGAGAAAGGTAGGGGTAATTATGAAGAGAAAGGTAAGGTAATTATCAGGAGAAAGGTTGTGGAAATTATGAAGAGAAATGTAAGGTAATTATCAGAAGAAAGGTAAGGGTAATTATCAGGAGAAAGGTAAGGCCAATTATCAGGATAAAGGTAAGGGTAATTATCAGGATAAAGGTAAGGGTAATTATCAGGAGAATGGTAAGATAGTTATCAGGAAAAAGATAGGGGTAATTATCAGGAGAATGGAAAGGGTAATTATCAGGAGAAAGGTAGTGATAATTACCCTACATTTCTCCTGATAATTATCAGGAGAAAGGTAGGGGTAATTATCAGGAGAAAGGTAGGGGATAATTACCAGAAGAAAGATAGGGGTAATTATCAGAAGGGTAGGGATAATTATCAGGAGAAAGCGCTGAGCTGTTACAACTGCATACCTCTTGGAAGGAATATGTGGATAAGGACTGAAAGATGAAACAACGGTTTCAAGCTAAACATGCCACAGTGTAGGATAAAAATGTTTTTTTTCATCATCAGGGCTATAAACTCAAGGAACCGCCTACCCGCCGAACCCATAAATATCAGGACAATATTTCAAAATTCATCTGGAAAAAAAATCCTCCGGAGTAATGGGGGACGATTGACAAGTCGGCGGCTTCCTGTCCCCGTCAAGGCCACTAGAGAGAGATGGCGGGACTCGGGTAAATTCTTGTGTATACGTTATCAACCCACTCTTTGGGCTGGAAGTAATGTTTAATGTATGATAAACCTGAGACTTCAGTTCTAGACACAATCGTAATGGAAACATGCCTTCAGAAATATTCTCATGCACCACTATTTGCTTAGAAGTTAAAGCTTAACACAAATTGTTTAATACACTTATTTTTGCTCTTGTCGATTGATAATTGGTGAAAAAAGTTAAAACCCAATCTTCTTATACTTACAAAGATTGTCTATGGTATCCCAATTGGTATAGGTGACAGATGTACCATCACTCCACTGGTATTCTCCTGAGTGGGCAGTATCTACCAAGCCAATCCAAACAGAATCAAAGGTACCTGTAAACAATATTTTATGATGTAGTAACAGGGATGTGACAGGGATGTTATTACACAGTATTATAAACAATTAATTCATACATAAATATACTAAATATTTCAATGATATGGTAAACAGATAAAAGTGGAGAAAAACGTCTTGCTTGTATGTAATGGTCGTAACTAATTTCCAAGGGCCATCTATGGAGATCAGTTAGATGACCAGTCGGTGAGTAGGTGAGTAACTGATGTTCTCACGCAGGACGTAACTGATGTTCCAATTATTGTCTATGCAGGTCGTAAAGATGTTCCTATTATTGTCTATGTACGTCGTAATTGATGTTCCAAGAATATTCTATGCAGGTCGTAACTAATATTGCAAGGATCATCTTTTCAGGTCGTAACTAATATTGCAAGGATCGTCTATGCAGGTCGTAACTAACCTATTCTAACCTAACTTAACGATCATCTATGAAATCGTAACTAACATTGCAAGGACAGTCTATGCAGGTCGTAAGTGGTTGTCCAAGGACAGTCTATGCAAGTCGTACCTAACATACAAATGTACGTTTATCCTGTGGTCAAAACTTTTTTTCCATGTTGTGGTCGTAAAAAATTTAATTTAAACTCATTTGTGACAACTCTTAACGCATTACTGTTTCGCTACTTAAATAAAAAAAACTTGGGTAAGTTCCATAATCTTAGTTCATTCACAAAACAGTAAAGACCAGGGAGTTACCAGGAACATAAGAAACACCTACCGAAAGTGCTGAGAAGAGAAATCAAGAAGTCCTCTTCTTCTGCCGTGTGGATGGAGGCGAGGTCCCCGCCCAGGCCCTGACACGCCACCCGGGCTTTGCTGTAACTCATGTAATTTGAGTAGTCGCCGTAACTATACATGTAGCAGTAGCCGTTGAAGTTGGTCCAGCCATCTTCACAGCCGACCGTGTGTGCTGGGGGCGTGATATCACAGTTAGATGGTCTTACACAGCACAGGGATTATCAGGAGAGATCGCTAACCCATTAATTAACACTGTATAGCCATTGGAAGGGATGTGACGATAAGGATTACAGTGTAGGACGAGGGGGGGAAATTGGTCCCCAACCACTTAGGTGGTTGGGGACCAATTTTTTTTTTATTTTTTTTTATTTTTACATGCAAGCATGCTTATAAGTACAATAAAATGAAACAAATACAACATAGAACAGAACAAAGCGACAAAGCACAAACGTGCAAAAATATAAAGGAACAAATGTACTAAACACAAAAACGCCGTCCGGAAGGGCCGACCACAAAACAACAATAATTACAAACAAAATACAACAATTAAGGTAAACACAGCGGAATACAATACAGAAATAACACACCAAAACAAGAAATATACAGAACAAGGCCACCAGCACCGCAAACACACACGGAGAGGCACCAACACTAAACGAAAATAATAATAATAATAATAATAATAATAATAATAATAATAATAATAATAATAATAATAACAAGAAAGGAATACAAGCATACAACAAACAAAAAGAAAAGCACAATAGCAAAACACGACAAAAAGCATGAACCCCGACCAGGTCACGCCAACAGCCTGAAGGGCACTCAACACCACACAAACAAGCGCACAAACAGCATCATAAAAACATAGAACCACAAAGCATAACATAAGAACACGACATCCACAACCAGACACACACACTAACCAAACCCCGGACAGCACAGGAACCGGACACACACACACAAACCACACAAATAAAGCCACAACTCCAAACCGGAGCACCCAGGAACCGGGAAACAAACCCGCCCCACCCACTCACACACACCCGACCCGCACCCCACAACCATGCACATAAATGGAAACAACACAATACACAAAGGAATCATAAGTGAGGAATACATTTCTCAGAGACAGGACCAAACGTCTCTGAAGCCCAAGGATACCTTCGCTTGTAGGCCTCCCAAATCAAATATTCCCTGTCGGTAGAGGGACGATCCCCCTTCCGCCGTGGGCCCTTCATAAACTCGGGAACCTCCAGATCAGGCGGAAACGGCCACTCCTTAAGCTCACCGACGCAAGTCGCATAACGAGGCTGGGGAGCGCAAACCACGTCCTTCGAGGTAACAGACGATACCGATGAAGCGTGCGAGGGCTGCCGAGACGGCTGCGTCGCCGTACGCACAGGAGCAGGGGACAATCGACGAGATGGTAACGCCTCCACCGAGACCGCAGGAGGCACTGAAGAGATGGCCGGAGACGGAAGAGGCGTCGAGACCGCAGTCGATGAAACGGGGACCGAGGAAGGGGTTACAGAACCCCCAGAGCGCGTAGTATTTTTCAATAGCGTCACCAGGCCACCCTGCTCACCACGAACCTCAGCAGGGGGAACCACCCCCCACGAAGAACCGGAGCCATCCGAGGCAGGCGACGCACCCGAAGCAGGAACCGCAGACACCATATCTGAAGTGGAGGCCGAAACACCGGCACTGGCATCCTCAGGCAAATTCACCTCTGCCGCCACCGTAGTATGCAACACAACCGGAGCCACCTCACCGTTGCCGGCAGATCCACAAACGTCGAAGTCGCCAACGTCAGCCCACGCTGAAGACGAACGCCGGGAACGCTTAGGCTCTGGCTGTACATCATCAGACCCGGAGGCTGACTCAGAGATACGCGCAACACAAGCTGGGCGAACCGATGCACGTCGCAGAACGGCAGCATCCTCAACCACATGGGGCACCAGTCCAGGCACAGGAGGAAGCGCCGGATCCACCCAATCACCCAGCACAGCCGGAACAGACGGCAAGGGTGCAGGAACAGGGTCAGACGCAGCAGAGGACGAACTGGAAGACAGGGGATGTGAGCAGAAGGCAGTCTGAAGAACCCCAGGGACACTATATAGGCGGAGCAGGACGATCACCAGGCGACGACACAACCTCTGGAGGAGAGGCGACAACAATAGGGGTAGCACCAGGCGGCGCAACAGGAGACACAGGGGGCACATTCGCGGCTGAAGAGACGTCCACATCCACCGAATCCTCCTCCACATGAAGCGGCGGAAAATCCTCCTCACCTGCAACGGCAGGTGCAGAACAGTCAGCAGCCTGATGGCCCAAGAGGCCACAACGATAACACGTCCGAGGCTGGTGGGCATAAAACACCCGAACGTTGTAACCCATAAGACGCACAGAGGACAGAATATCTTCCTGGAGCCTCATACCCTGGGTGTGAATGTTAGTCCTCACACCCTTAAGTGGACTGGAAGACACCACGTTCACCCGCACACTAACCACTGTGCCAAACCGGCCGAAGTACCGCCGTAGCAGACCCTCCGGAAACTCCAATGGAGCCCCATGCACACTGACGTAAGTGAGGGCACCACTCCGATCAGAGAGCGATACAGTGCCCGCACCATCCGGCAGGGGTAATGTCCGCCCCTCGTAACGACGGAGAAAGTCACGATACGCTAATTCCTCCTTGAACTTCAATATCGCTCGACGTGCCGTCACTAGCTCGACTCCATAAATGTTTATCACAGGGATATGAAGCAACTCACACACCAGCGCTATCTCTGGGTACCCAGCCCGGCCGGAAAATTCGAGGCCCACAGACTGAGCCCGCAGTACAGGGGGGAGGGGGACCCCCATCGTGAACTCCACGTCAGCACAGGCGGGCAGAGACACACACGCCTCAAAACGGCCAAAACTGGCAAACAACCACCAGCTGCCGGAGAGAGCAGGTAACGTCCACCATCCACGACAGCCAGCAGTCCACTCCGTTGGGGACCAATTTAATGCCGACCTGCAAGAAGACCGTCGCTCTACAGTGGATAAGTGTTAGTGTAAGTATACTCACCTAGATTGTCTTACATCGCTGGGTAAATGTAAGTTGTCATGATCCCCAATAGCATCATGACCTATATCCAGTCTAGGAGGAAATTTCGCACTCAAGCATGCTGTTGACTGAAACCGGATGTACAGCATAGTCTACAGTGTAAACCGAAGTTGTTTGTAAGAGGAGAGGCATGATATGGCACTGAGCAACATTTTAGGTGGAAAGAATGATGGCGATGGTGGAAGACATTCTCGAGGAGGAAGGAGCTGGATGATGTCATCACTGACCAATGAGGGAGGAGCTGGATGATGTCATCACTGACCAATGAGGGAGGAGCTGGATGATGTCATCACTGACCAATGAGCGAGGAGCTGGATGATGTCATCACTGACCAATGAGAGAGAGGGGCAAGGTCGTGACGTGACACGAGCAGAGGCTCCGTGACTCGTCGCTACTCCCAAGTTTACGGTATAGTTCTACACGACTTGATGAAGGAAGCTGTGACAGAGACAAGTTCTGCCAGGGAATGAATCTGGTGTCCACTGTGGAACCTACTATAGCTTTTGTATGACCCAGGTGAGGAATGTGACAAGTAAAGCAAGGTTGTTGCCTGTGTCTGACCGCCACACGCAAGTCAGGAACAAAAATTCTGATGACCAGTCAGAGATTGTGTTGCTAGCCTGGTGAGGATTCGTCAGAGGGAGATCCACCCTTGAGTAAAATGGAGTGATCAAACAGGAACCGTTTGTCATCTGTATTTAGCCCCTCCTCATAAACAAAGGCCAAAGTCCATTCCATCCACCTGCCAACCTCCTGTTTATGAATGAAAAACGGTTTTACACACGACTCACAATTGATGACGTTCGAACACTTCCCGGAACAAATGCTTTGCTGACGTCATTTGTTTGAAACACAATACTGTAAAGGCTTCACCCACGTACTACAAATACACAGTCCATCATCGTAAACAAAGGCCAATGCTCAGTAATCCAGCCACCAATCCCCCTGTTTATGAATGAAAAGCAGTTTACACACGACTCAAAACTGATGACGTCCGAATACTTCTCGAACAGTACTTTGCTGACATCCTCTGTTTGAACCACAATCCTATAACTGCTTCACTCACATACTTCAAATACAAATAATCCAACCCGTTCTCACGCCAGGCTGTTTAAAGCAGCGGTCGTCCTCCCTAGACGTATTCATTAATTTTAACATACTGTGTATTACACACAGAAATCACAATTGCGTGATGCATCAAATGAACAAATCCACAAGGGCCGTGATGAGGATTCGAACCTGTGTCCGAGAGCATCCCAGACACTGCCTTAATCGATTGAGCTACGACATGGTCAAAAAGAGTAGAACTTCGGTTTCAACTCCTTTTGACCATGTTTGGGAGGCTACGCCCTCCCAAACAAGCAGTTCAAGTGAGCCGGCTCATAGTTAAAGAAGTCATCAGCGCCATCTGCCCGGCCAATATTCTGTATAAATAGTGCTACCAAGCTCTCCAAGATTCAGATTACTCCTGAGTGCTCTTGCTGAGTAGACCTGTTGACATACCCCGGTGTGGTAACAGAGCTATTCAGTTTGACTCACAGTATTCCGCACCATATTTTATTTTGCACCTTAACGTAATGAAAATTTGATTGTTCATCTTGTTTGTTTTGCATGTTTTGTATTAAAGCCAAACCTGGATTTTATTTTATGTTTTGTAATTTGCTTAACTGCAGTTTTTGCTATTAAGTATTTTTAAATGTTTTTTCCCTCTGCTTTATCCTACAGTTTATCACACTGTGAAGACACCTTTGCAGTTTAACTTTTTTTCTTTTCTTTTTTAATATTTTGTGACTGGCATTACAGAGACTGCATGACCACCAACGTGTCCCGTCACAAATTATATATATATATATATATATATATATATATATATATATATATATATATATATATATATATATATATATATATATATATATATATATATATATATATATATAGGGGTTATAGGGTTTATATATATAGGGGTTATATATATATATATATATATATATATTAAATATGACCGAAAAAGTATATATATATATTCCTGTAAAATAGTCTAATAGGGGGTATAG